ATATGAAAATTAATAACAGCAAAAGGAGAAACCTGTTGTATAAATACACATTTTAACATAAAAGTGAGACTTACTATCTCACTTAAGAGGAAGAAAAACATTCGATACAATTTACTTGAAGATTTGAAAATAATTATATTTTCCCAGCTCTAGATAAATATATTACTTGAATTTACTAGTCATCTTCAATATACAACATATAACGCGCAAAACTGGGAATGTTACAATACCAAAACCTTTCACAGCACTAGTTACCAGTTACCAGAACTGTAAGAAATATTTAGCTACATATCAGCTTAATACTTGGTATACAGAAAGAGATATGGCTAAGCTGTGGGAAACAACAGTGCAATCAAACATTAAGGACCACAAAATATATTCTTTTTCCTTTTTAGTTTGTATTATATAACTGCATTATCCTACCTTAATGGCATTATTAACTGAGTATGAAACTTCTTTATTTTAATGCATTTTAAAAGTAACCCTTCTTTTTAGGTTTGGTTGATTTACTTTTGAAATGCAGTTCCTATGAAATACCCAGACTATTTATAAAATCCTATGCAATGAATAACTTGTAGCTAAAATGAAATATTTTATGTGAAGTTTTTAATAACTTTTAAGTAGTAGCTTGGTTTTCATTTTTCCAAAACTTGGAAGTGCATAAACAACTAAGAGAGTATATAAATAATGTAAATAGAATATCTTAGTTACATGGAGGGAATTAATCTGTTCACCTATATTATGTAACATGGAGTTTATCATGAACAGAGTTTAACAGTCTCAGTCTGAGTTACCCTGTTAAACTTCTTTTCCTAAAAATATCAGAAATAATTATACAAATAGGTACAGTCCAGCTGTCTTTGATCTCTGTTCTCTACAATGATAAAACTTTATAGTTTTTCTTCTAACATAAATATCTCCAAACAAAACTTGGAAAAAAATAATGAGAAAATAAAATAAGAAACAATTAACACTTTGTGTATTATAAAAACCAATAATCATCACGTTTTAAAAATTGCAGTTACTTCTTAGGAAGGTCTCCTGTTACAAAGGCATCATATTACTGACTTGACACCGAGTTTGCTATACAAAAGTCAATCAGGGGATGCCACAGAAGAGACAAGCCCCAGGCGTCATGGCACTGGGGCAGGCAGTGAGAGGAGAGAAACCCATGGTAACCAAGTGCTGTGGGGACTGCTCTGGGAGGCTACTCTATTGGCTAACAATTACTAGTGGAGGAATTTTCACTTCTCACTCTTCATTTCGGCTGATCTAAAGAATTTGGTGTTTCAAAACTGCCAATTGTATTACCAAACTTCAAACCCACTGTCTAATCCAACTTACATCTGAGGCACAGGATGAGTTAGTTGGAGTGGGGCATAGAGGGGGCGGACAGGAGAGATCCTAGATGTCAGGGTCAAGAGATGCATTGTTCTCATAGCTTAATTAAGGGCTATATCCTTAAAGAATTCATATCCATAGAGCATGAAAGTCCACTATGTTGACAGCCCAGTTGGAAATAAAAGATGTTTTACTTCAGAAGTGCTGCATAGTGGCAGCCCCTATAACTTTCTAAGTTATAGCTCTTCATGAATATTTTCTTCCTTGATTCCTGTTAAAAATAAGTTCCATGAAGACAAAAATATTGTCCTCATTATTAATAAAAATTAGCTAAAGCATCTCTAGGCAATTGTGTTTTGGTACATTATATCAATATGTAAAAGTCACTAAGCGAAGGATTCCTGACAATAAGTCTCATTGGGAAAAATCTTATTATAGAATTAAATAAATTGTTATTTGGGGGTCAAGAACATGAAATATTGTTTTTCAGGCACTATTTTAAGGAATTACTAACCATGTGACCATCAAGATAAGTGAGCATAAGGAACACAGATCTAAATCTAGCAAAGCAAGCCTTTTTACAGGGCTTAAATGACATTCACTTTACTTGGAATCATTTTGGTTCATTCCTTTTTCTTTCTTTTTTTGCATGCCTAACCGTTCATTCACTGTGTGTGTGCTGCTATGCGTCCTCATGCATGAGCTATGTCAACAACAACAATCTACTGATAAGAGAACATGAAAATGTACAAGTTGTAGGAGACGAACATGGTTTTAACTTATCTCAGTACGTATTTTTCTGAAATGTTCCCTGTGATTAAGTTGTGAACAAATGAACATGCCACACGTCAACAAACTGAGCAAACGTGGATTGTTAGTGACTTAGTGGTGGAGGGAGGGCTAGAGAAAGGCCAGCTGCGTTGGTCCGCCAATCTCCTGTGTCCCACTTTGGTTACCAAAATACAACCACTGGTAGGGAAGGCTCATCTAGAACCAGAGTGAGGAATAAGGATTGAGAATAAAACTCAGCAAGGATGATGAATGAGTTTCAGCTCATTGCTGGGATTAGCTGAAGAATGAATAGGAAACAGTGGATGAAGGAACAAGCTATTCCAGGGACCTTTTGAAGCCCTTGGACCTCACGTCCCTTATAGCTAAGGAAGGATAAAATGGATGTAGGCCAGTGCTAATCATTTGAGAAATTTTGCTAAAGGAAGATTTTGATTCAGTCGATATGAAGTGGACCTGAAATTCTGCATTTCTGTAAGCTCTCAGGCTGCTGCCCCATGGATCACATTTTGAGTAGCAATGATCTACACCAGAGCTGTCCAATAGAATTTCTGCAGTGATGGAAATTTTCTACATCTGTACTGTCCACTGTGGTTACTGAACACTTGAAATGTAGTTGGTGCAACTGAGAAATGGAATTTCTAATTAAGTTAATTTTTTTAAAGAGTAGGGGTCTTGCTCTGCTGCCCAGGCTGGAGGGCAGTAGCATGACCATGGCTCACTGCAGCCTTGAACTCCTGGGCTCAAGCAATCCTCCCACCTCAGCCTTCAGAGTAGCTGGGACTACAGGCACATGCCACCATGCCTAGCTAGTTAAAAAAAAATATTTTTTTCAGAGACAGGGTCTCACTATGTTGCCCAGTCTGGTCTCAAACTCCTGGCCTCAAGCCATCCTCCCGCCTCAGCCTCCCGAGTCACTGGGATTACAGGCGTGTGCCACTGTGCCTGGCTTAATGAAATTCCATTTAAATTTAGATAGCCACATGTAGCTAAAATATCAGATAGGATAGATCTAGATATTCATGGGTCATTTCTTGTCAGTAAGAACAATATACATCACAGCCCCAAATGATCTAATCCATCAATTCATTTAGATTATCTAGCAAGTATCCTTTTATATAATGCCAGCTGTAAAATTAGCGTCTTTAAATTGTTGTCTTCCTAACACTTAAATGACCCACCATGTATGCTTAAGCGAGAAATGAAAGGGGTCATTTTGTAGTGGATTAATTGATGGGGAAAGGAAAGCAGAAAGCAGTGAGAATTTCAGCAACCATGACTGCATTGGGCATTGCGAAAATGAAGAGCCAGAATGTAGGAAAGAAACTCAGAAAGGGAGGTGAAGAGACCCTAAAGAGAAATACTGCATACTCAGGAATTTTATTTAGGTCTGATTCTGTCCCTTTATCTCCTTTAAAAGCAAGTTCTTCCTCAGGAAATGGAACTGAAAGAAAATATATTCTGGCTGACGCTCTCCCTTTCCCTGACCTCCCACCAGCCCCCATCCTCCAGGTGAAGGAGAGCCTATCCGGGAGAAGAGCTGACAATTCCAGCCATTACAGTCACTGCAGTCAGGTGCAGGTGGGAACTTCTGACCCCAGCTCATGCATGGATCAAAGCATAGAGGCCCCATCCCACTCCCCAAAGCTGTGATCCGATCCCGTGGAGAAGCTCTTCTCTACTTTTTTTTTTTTTTTTTTGGTAATCGCATCTACTACAAGAAGAGGAATTATTTATGATACTGACAGGGGCCTAAGGAGACTCTGAAGACCCCCTCCTGGAAACAGGTGTCAGTGAAGTCATTTGGGCCTTGCACAGCCATGCAGAGACAAAGCATATAGAGAAAATTGCTCTCATTTAACAAAAAGTATATCCAAATTGTCATTTTATAGAATTTCCCCCATCCAAACCCATTTGCAGGAAAATTCTGGCTAATTAAGGATTCCATTAAGAGACTCAGGCTCTACCAACTGAGCCAGCCAGAAATGTACTGTAGGATTCCATTAACTGAGACTTTACAGCATATACAAAAGATGTTACCTGCGAGTGAAAAGACCACCAAACAAACCAACAAAATTCAATCCTTCACATCACACTCTTAAATTTGGGACACGTCATAAGCTAGACTCTTTTCTATTAGCAAAGGGGGATGAGGGGTGAAAATCAATATAGCTATTTATATTAATACATTCTTTATGCTAGAGTTCTTCCCCTTCTTGCCCTCACTTTTCCTTTTTTTAGTAGAGATGGACAGAGATCTGTAATGTCAGAGAGTAGAGATGGACAGAGATCTGTAATGTCAGAGAGTAGAGATGGACAGAGATCTGTAATGTCAGAGAGTTCTGGGAACCTGGTACCTCTGTTAGGTTGCACAGGAAAGTGTTTACAGAACAGCACTTAGGTGGGACTATCAGAGGGGCTGAAAAAGGAGACCTCTGACTTCATAAGTGCAGATATAATTAGAAAAACTGAGTAATTCATGACTATTTTTTTTTTGAGATGGAGTCTTGCTCTGTCACCCAGGCTAGAAAGCAGTGGTGTGATCTCAGCTCACTGCAATCTCCATCTCCTGGGTTCAAGCAATTCTCCTGCCTCAGCCTCCTGAGTAGCTGGGATTACAGGTGCCTACCACCACACCTGGCTATTTTTTGTATTTTCAGTAGAGATGGGGTTTCACTATACTGGTCAGGCTGGTCTTGCACTCCTGACCTCAGATTATCTACCCACCTCAGCCTCCCAAAGTGGTGGGATTACATGCATGAGACACAGCGCCCAGTCTCATGACTCTTTTTAAACTACTTGATATAACTGTCTTTGGAAAATTTCCATTTATTTACAACTTAGGTAAAATATATAGTCAGACATACTTGGTCAGGAATCCCTCAGGGTCATTTATTTTAAAGACATCAAAATTTTGTGATTTTTACTAGTAGTTAAATACCCAAGTTATAAACAAGAGTAAAGTGTCAAACAGTTAAACTCCTTTGATATAATTAAATAATATGCCTGACAATAGTTCATTTTAAATGCTCGCCTATTAGTATTTCTCTCTAAACACTGGGAAATAATTGTCTAGAAAATTATCAGTGATGCTATATCACAAGATTATATGTATGTAGGTATATATATACACATATAAATGTATATGTGTATGTATATATACACACACATATATGTATATATGTATATATCTGTGTGTGCATATATCTATTAAGAACCTAGCAGGCTGCTTCATAAAAATTATCACCACTGAGTCAGTACCCTGTTTATTTCTCTTATATACAATATTTTAAAATATTATAATTAATGTTTTGGTATATAATGGCTAAAGAAAGCTTATTTAAGGATATTTTTGTGACTTTTTGATATGTATGCCTTTGGCTTTCAAAGATTTGACCAGTGTAATGTTGACTTCTAATAAGCTACACTGAAGTAGAGTGGTTTAGAAAAAGGAAAATAATATCCACCTGACAGGAATTAAGAATTAAGTGAGATAATAATAACAATAACAAAAAGCCCTTAAGAAAAAATTTAAATCTCTTCTGTTGGAAAGTTTGTGTCAGAAGCCACTATAGAGAGTGGGTGAGTCTGGGTAATCTTTCAGTATATAAATCTCGGTTGGGACCTTAGGGAATTCCTGGATATCAACACTTCACTGTATCATAAATTCAAACAGAATATTAAATAATTATTAAATTGAAATTAAAAATTAGAAACGAAATGTGGACATTTTAGTTTGGAAAGCTGTAACAAGTTTTGTCAGGTAAGGGAGCAGGTAATTTTATGAAAATACCCAGAGAATTTTGTTAACGTGCACGCCTACTGCTTATGATAGATTGAAATAAAATTGACTTGCATACATGTATATCATTGTTGATTATGGCACAGACACACATTCACAAAGTCTTAGGTACAGAATATTTACGCAAAATTCCACATTAAAAAACAGAAAAGTGCAGTGCCCTTAGCCAACAAAAATATACTTTAGTAATAAATTAAATCCCTTTAACATTAAAATTGACATGAAAGCTATTTAAAGTGTTACAATATTAGATGTGACATGCAAGAAAAAGAAAGACATTTCAGGCAGGAACATCGTGCATTAAGATTTGCATTCATTCATAGTATTGGGCAGGTTTTCAACATATTCTTGACCACTAAGCACTAGGAGTTGGAGGTGATACCAATCTACATTCAAAACACAACTTAATTTATATTTTAGTCTCCTAACCTACTGATTTTAAGAAAATGGCCAATGCCTCCAATAATGAAACCCAGGAAGTTTTAACCACATATTGTTATGCAGTTGCACAGTAGGAACATTCCATCAGACCAGATCTATGGAAAGTAAACATTTTGCAATTCCACCTTTTAGACAATGCAATCGTCTCAGATTCCTCCTACCTTATTACTGTTGTCAATATATTTGAACATGTCAGGTTTGCACAAAAAGAAAATGGCTTTGTGGAATGTATTTTTTGGCACAAAAATATTCTCTAATACCTCAAATCAAAATTTCACCCACAGCAAAATATCAAGCCATAGAGGTGCTTCAGTGGTGCTTACTTATCTACGCAGAAAACTACAAGAACCACCACTTGCTTCCAAGGACTTTGTATTAAGTGGCAATAACTTCTCTTCCAAAGAATAGCACTAATATGATTACACCTCTGACTGTGGAGTGCTCCTTCCAAGCTCTTTAATTCCCTGGAGAATTCGCTTCACATGGCCCACCTTCGGTATCCCCAGGTCCTAAAATAAAAGAACAGAAAAAGGTAGAAATAATTAAAAATGAAAGAAAAAAGGCAGAAAGAAAATTTTAAAAATGAAAGAAAAGAAAAAAGTGTATTGATAATAGAAAACTGGGGATTAAATATTTAACCAGTAAGAAACATAATTAGCATTCAGTTCATTCATTTTAGTTTATATTCAGTGATTCGGGAAGTGAAAGGTAGAAAAATAAGTTTATAAAACAAAAATAACCTGACACTGAAGAATTCCCAACTGGTACAAAAAAAAAATCACATTCTACATAAACTCTTAACTATGACATTCTTGTAATTATACACAGTGGCTTTTGACTTCAAGAGTCAAAACCTAAATTTTCTTTCTTCTTTTCTTTCCTTTCTTCTCTCTCTCTCCTCTCTCTCTCTCTCTCCTCTCTCTCTCTCTCTTTCTTTCTTTTCCCCCCCTCTCTTCTCTCTGTCCTCTTAGAAAGGCTCTTTTGGGATCTCTGAGAAAAAAATGATGTGGGACAGCAGGGCACCCACAATTAGTTCTAAGACAACATTTCTTGCGCTAAAATATTAAATTTAAAAGTGAGACCTAATTCTAGAGAAAGATACCAGTACCTGCTAAATAAATTTGGACTCTATATGCATTTGCAGTTGCATTACAAGTCTTTGTTTGAGAGGAATATTTAATTTAAATAGTCTTTATACTTTGTAATGTATGTGTGTAAAAAATCACATAATTATCTGTTAGTTGATGCTTTCCCTCAAAACACTATTGGCTCTTTTCTCTCAAAATTATTATTCTTGTTTCTTAAAGAAACTTCTTCCTATAAGTGCCAAGAATTCAATATTTAACTTTCAGAAATAGATGATGACTGCAGAGTGTGCACAGCAAGTACTTTGCAAGTATCTGTTGCAGAAATAAATTAAAACTAACCAAGGGTGAATAACCGCTAGTTATTCACTCTCTGAAAAACTAAAGCAAAGAATTACAGCCTCCAAATCCTAGTTTCTTTAAGTGAAAGGGCATAGTCAGTTTGCTAATATGTGAAGACAACTTCTTCAAAAAAAAAATTGAACTATTTGAAAATTATTAAAAAGATGACTCCCAAAATGGCCTAAAAAAAACCAGGGTTATAAAATAACGTAACTTGTCTGAGAAGATAAAGATGCAACTATCCACCCTGTTTGGTAATTTATTTATTTTTCAACTTTTAAATGAAATAGATCAAACTGGTTTAAGTCTTCTGTCCTTGTCTCTCTCTTTCTCCCCTTTACCCTTTAAGAACTCTTGGAGTTCTTCAGCAGTAATGAATCCTTCTGGAAAATACTGTTTTCATAGCCAATGCTATTGTCAAACGAGATAATTTCAAGATATTTCATAGATATTTAACTGACTCAGAAAAATATCTTCTCCTATGACACAGGGCATCCAAAATTAGTCCTAAGGCTACTATACATTTACTGAATATCTGCTAAAGTATCAAGCTTAAAAGCAAGGCCATATAAATGCTTGCTACCTAAATTTGAAATGTACATGCATTTACAGTCACATTTAGATTTTTTGAGTGGAATATTTAAATATCTTTACCTCTTTGTGAAAACATAGGTATCCAATTACAAAATATATTTAAATATTAAATATTTTATTTTAGGCCATAAATACGTTGTATTCTCAAGACTAAATCTTCTTTGGGGGAGGTAGAATCTACTTAGAATTACTATTTGGGTATAAAATGAGAAGAATGTTTTCCATAGAGTTACAATAACTTACTAGCTATACTTTTTTAAAAATTAATTTTATTTAATTTTAAGTTCCAGGATACATGTGCAGGAGGTGCAGGTTTGTTACATAGGTAAAAGTGTGCCATGCTGGTTTGCGGCACCTACCATCCCTTCACCTAGGTAGTAAGCCCCACATTCATTAGCTATTTATCCTGATGTTCTCCCCTCCCTCTGTGCTCCCAATAGGCCCCAGTGTATGTTGTTCCCCTCCCTGTATCTATGTGTTCTCATTGTTGAGCTCCCACTTATAAGAACATGTGGTGTTTGGTTTTCTGTTCCTGTGTTAGTTTACTGAGGATAATGACTTCCAGCTCCATCCATGTTCCTGCAAAGGACATGATCCAGTTCCTTTTTATGGCTGCATAGTATTCCATGGTGTATATATACCACATTTTCTTGCTCCAGTCTACAATTTTTTTTATTTTTTTATTTTTTTTGAGACAGAGTCTCACACTGTTGCCCAGGCTGGAGTGCAATGGCGTGATCTCGGCTCACTGCAACCTCCGCTTCCCAGGTTCAAATGATTCTCCTGCCTCAGCCTTCCAAGTACCTGGGATTACAGGTGCCCGCCACCATGCCCGGCTAATTTTTTTTCTATTTTTAGTAGAGACGGGGTTTCACTATGTTACCCAGGCTGATCTCGAACACCTGACCTCGTGATCCACCTGCCTTGGCCTCCCAAAGTGCTGGGATTATAGGCATAAGCTACTGTGCCCGGCCTATCCAGTCTACCATTGATGGGCATTTGGGTTGATTCCATGTCTTTGCTATTGTGAATAGTGCTGCAACGAACATATGTGTGCCTGTATCTTTAAAATAGAATGATTTATATTCCTGTGGGTATATACCCAGTAATGGGATTGCTGGGTCAAATGGTATTTCTGGTTCTAGGTCTTTGAGGAATTGCCACACTGTTTTTTGTAATGATTGAACTAATTTACATTCCCACCAACAGTGTAAAAGCGTTCCTATTTCTCCACAGCCTCACCAGCATCTGTTGCTTCTTGACTTTTTAATAATTGCCATTCTGACTAGTGTGAGATGGTATCTCATTGTGGTTTTGATTTGCACTTCTCTAATAATCACTGATGTTGAACTTTTTTTTCTTATGTTTATTGGCCCCATGTCTTCTTTTGAGAAACGTCTGTTCATGTCCTTTGCTCACTTTTTAATGAGGGCTGTTTTTTCTTGTAAATTTGTTTAAGTTCCTTGTAGATTTTGGATATGAGACCTTTGTTCAGATGGATAGACTGCAAAAATTTTCTCCCAATCTGTAGGTTGTCTGTTCGCTCTGATGATAGTTTCTTTTGCTGTGCAGAAGCTCTTTAATTAGATCCCACTTGCCAATTTTGGCTTTTGTTGTAATTGCTTTTGACGTTTTAGTTTGAGTTCAATATTTTTATGCCTTCTAGGGTATAGGCTGTAATAAAGCTATGCTGTGACATTTGTTATATCTTTATTTTTATCACATATCATTATATATTAATATTTACCATATTCTTTTTTTTTTTTTTTTGAGACAGAGTCTCACTCTCTCACTCAGGCTGGAGTGCAGTGGCATGATCTCGGCTCACTGCAACCTCTGCCTCCTGGGTTCAAGTGATCCTCCTGCCTCAGCCTCCTGAGTAGCTGGGACTATAGGCATGCACCACCACGTCCAGCTAATTTTTGTATTTTCAGTAGAGATGGGGTTTCACCATGTTGGCCAGGCTGGTCTTGAACTCTTGACCTCATGATCCACCTGCCTTGGCCTCCCAAAGTGCTGGGATTACAGAGATGAGTCACCATGCCTGGCCAATTTTTATCATATGAGTAGCTTTCTCTTTCCTTGGATAAACAGTCCAAATTTTGACAAAGCATGCTTTGTATATATTCAGTTATCCTTCCAGCCATACATACACAACTTTCCAAATAGAAAAAACAAAAAACCCTCACCATATGTTTACCATTCTCTTTGGTGTCTCTCTTTCTCCTACTGTGTTCTAGCAGAGAAAATGATGCAATCAGTTTGTTTCCTTATCTGCTAAAGCACATTGGAAATACTTTCCTGGCTGGGCATGGTGGCTCACACCGGGAATCCCAGCATTTTGGGAAGCCAAGGCAGGCTGATTGCTTGAAGCCAGGAGTTCAAGACCAGCCTGGACAACATAGCAAGACCCTGTCTCTACAAAAAATAAAAGAAATTAGTTGGGTGTGGTGGCATGCACCTGTAGTCCTAGCTATTCAGGAGGTGAGGTGGGAGGATCACCTGAGCCCAGGAGGCTGAGGCTGCAGTGAGCCATGATTGCATTACTGCACTTCATCCTGGGTGACAGAATGAGTCTCTCTCTCTCTCTCTCTATATATATATATATATATATATATTTTTTTTTTCCTTTTCCCAACTTTAGACTGTCATGTCGCTACGTCTAGTTGTTTTGGTGATATGGGAGTAACACTTGAGCTAATCTCTGAGCAGGAGTTAACCAGGTGAAGGGTAGGGGAAGAAGCACAGCAAAAGAGAGTACATCCCTAAGGTGAGAAAAAGTGTAGTATTTTTAAGCAACTGAAATAAGGCCCAGGGAGGAGCCAGAGACTTCACAGGAGGTCGAATACATAGGCAGGACCTTGTAGGCCTGCAAAAAGATGTGGGTTTTTATTCCCTAGAAATGGGCAGCTACTGAAAAGTTTTAAGCAGAAAAGTGTACACCTGATTGATGATGCTAAAATAACACTCTGTTTGCAATGTGGATAATGGACTGCAAAGACAAAGAGCGGCAGTGGAAAGACCAGTTAGGAAGCTATTGACCCTACACAAGCAAAACTGGACAGTAGCATGGAGCAGGATTGTGGACAGGAGATAAAGAGAAGTGAATGGAGATTAGAATCAACATGACTTGGTGATGGGCTTGATGGGTTAGGGGAAGACTGACAAAAAAGAGGAAGGTGCTAAGTATGACCCTCATTTCTCTGCCTAGACTGCCTGAAGGGCCAGAGGTCTGATTTATAAAAGGCAGACCACTGGAGAAGGGGCAGAACAGGAGTGCAATAGGAGCTCAAGAGTTGCTTTTGGACATGTTAAGACTGAAAATCTCTAACTTAAAGTTTCCATCAATGGATGACTGCATAAAGAGAATGTGGCACATACATACACTGGAATATTATTCAGCCATAGAAAAGAATTTTTTAAAAAAGAATGAAAACATGTCTTTTGCAGCAACTTGGATGGAACTTGAGGTCATTATCTTAAATGAAACAAGAAGACACGGGAAGACAAACATTGCATGTTCTCACTCATTAGTGGGTGTTAAACAGGTATATACATGGACCTAGTGGAATGATAGACAATGGAGACTTGGAGGGGTAAGGGAGTAGGAGGGAGTGGATAAGAAATTGCTTATCGGGTACAATATATGTTATTCAGGTAATGGATTCCCTAAAAGCCCTGACTTAACCACTATGAAGGTAATAAAATTGCACTTGTATCCATATGTATATATTCATTTTTAGAGACAGAGTCTTGCTCTGTCGCCCAGACTGGAGTGCAGTGGCATGATCTCATATCACTGCAACCGCTGCCTTCTGGGTTCAAGCGAGTCTCCTGCCTCAGCCTCCTGAGTAGCTGAGACTACAGGAGAGTGCCACCATAGTTGGCTAGTTTTTTTGTAGTTTTAGTAGAGATGGGGTTTCATTGTGTTAGCCAGGATGATCTCGATCTCCTGACCTCGTGATCCACCCGCCTCAGCCTCCCAAAGTGCTGGGATTACAGGTGTGAGCCACCGTGCCCAGCTGTACCCACATATTTTTGTATAAATAAAAATAAATTAATTTTTAAAAAGCAAAAATAGAGATTGATATCCCTGTATAATACCTGAGTACCAAGCAGCCGGTTGGTGCTGTAATCCAAAAGTTCACAAATCAAGTCAGGCAGGGCTGAGAGAGAACCTGTGTGCCACTGACATATTCAAAAGTAGTACTGGAAGCAATGGAGTACCTAAGCAGTGAGTGATCCCTCACCAGCATTTAGAGGCTTCGGTCCGAAGGACTTGCCGCTGCTGACAGCTACAACCGCAGAGAACAAGGGGAGCTCTTCTCTAGCTTTATGGTTTTGTGCTATAGAAGACTCTTTCTGTGAAATGCTCCTGTTCTCATCCACCCTCCGACATCTTGTTTCAGACCCAATACAGTTTTTAAAATCATGTCAATAAGACAGAGAATGTAATTTGCATTAAAAATAAAAACAAAACAGAACAAAAAAGTCCCACGAAAAGCAAAAGAATGTTTTCTAACATAATTCTTAACCATCTCCTTTCTATTCTTTTCTAACTTTGCCTTAGTGTATGTTCTTCCATTCTACACATTCATTCTGCTTCAATCATTGTGTGCCTACCTGTATATTTCTATAGGTTTGTATGTATATATATAACATGTATGCATATATGCATTTATGTATGTATATTTTTTATACATACACACAGTCTTTTCCTTGAATGTGTGCTTATTCACAGCAAATGCGATGCATGCTTCTAGAGGGCAGGTATCATGCAGAGAAGCTAGCATAATATATTAAACAGTCATTAATAAATATTGTTATCTGCCAAGGATATCAGAAGTTACACAAACATGTTGGCTATCATGATCCCCCCTACATTTACTTTTTTGTGGACTCATTTCAAGCTTGGAAGCCAACTTTTGCTTTATGAACTCTAATACTACATATTTTGCTATGTTCCAGATTTAGGACTCTCAATTAAGGTAATTAATTAATTACTTTATTTTATTATGGCTAAAGTTGTTTAGGTATAAGTGGTGCTCACCTTTTGATGTGCTAAAACTCTTTGTGAATCTGTCTAATACAGATCTTTATACTACCTATTATCTGTTCAAAGATTTTTGCTAACATATTTGTAGATAAAGGTGCAACAGTTCATTAATTTGTTAGGAATTCTCTGTATTATGATAAAATTTAATGCATTTTAGAACTTGGTCTAGAGGAAAGGAATCACTCCAACAAATGTTACTACTTATTGGAAATTTAAAATGGCAGTATGTGGTAAGAAAATACAACATGACAAAATCCTACTTCTAAACCTTGGCCAGAGAGCCTACTTCAGCTGTTTCCACCACTACTGAGACTTCACCCAAAGAATAAAAGGGAAATGCTACAGATGGTGAAGGAATAATTTTCTCTCTCGTCATAAACAACCAATAGGCTCTGAGCTGTTTTCTAGCAAAAGCTAGGCAAAATTTTTACCTCATTTACTAAAGAAAAAAAATTCGTTTCGAGAATAATAGAATTTTAACAATATGTCATAGAAAGGAAATTTGAATTTCTCAGTCTGGTTATTCATGTGACCTAAAAAAGGCTGATTTAAAAACACAACAAATTGTAAGACTCTAAGTAGTCATTGCTGTAAGTCTCTCTTCTCATTCCATATATTAGAAAGGCTTTGTTATTGGTATTTTGAATTAATTTTTAGTTGTTAACCATATATTAGATTTTAGTCATTGTCAGCCAAATTATCACCTTCCATGCTGATGCAATAAAATGAGCTGATGGAAACATGATCCATTTGGAAATATTAGCACAGGAACAGTCATATCACTGGATGCAGAGAAAAATTACTAAGTTCATGCTAAGCTTTAGCTATAATAGAGTGATTCTGCCAGGAAAATACTGCTGACATGCTTGTTAAAAAGCATACAAGAAACTCAGACCACAGGACGGTGAATGTTAGATTACTACACATTTGCATAACATAAGCGAAGCTAAAAGCACATATCAGAAGAGGCACAGGAGAAAGGATTCCATTTTGCAATAAAATTTTCAAGAACAGAAGAGCACAAAGGAAATACCTTAAGATCTCGCCTTTCCAGATGCAAAAGTTCAGCCCCTCTGATGTCATGACGGATGAAGATATCTTTGTACTCTCCCAAATTGAGCAGATCCAGCCAAGCAGCAACTTCCTCTGTGCCCCATTTCTGAACTACCAAAGTTAAGAGCAAAACCCCCTTAATTTCTACATGCTCAATGCATTACAAAGCAAGGGTTGGCCAAAGAAGATGCAAAACAGAGTGCAGCGGCAGTGCTAGCAAAAGAAAGGTTAAAGGTGGTGTTTCAACAAAACCGTAGTTCCACTTTTTCCCATGCAAGTTATACACTATCAACACAACGATCCGACTATACAAAACCATCTGCTGCCGTGCACCCATGCTTAGCTTTAGTCCGATTTCCTCATTAAAGCCACCCAACCTATACAATATGCATACAAAATGTATTTCACATCATTAGGATCAATGGTGCAAGCTCTAAATAAGCTCTGATGATTTCCTTCAGACTGTATGAAAATGGCTATAGACTGAAATGAGCTACAAATGCTAATTACAATTTAAAATCTAATACGGAGTATTCAATTTTACACAAACTTTTCTGCTTAAGGTCTTGCTGATTTCAACTGTAGTCTTGATTGATTCTCCTACTACTGATAACAATGGCAATCAATGTGCTGTTAAATCCCAATTTAATGTCACTTAAAAATTCCATAGCACTGTTTTCTGAGATTAGTTGGATTACGTTATTTTTTGGTGTGTATCATTCGCTTATACATTTTATTCAACACTGATTAGCTTAATAAAAGCCTACTTATTTGCTGTATTTGGTTTTTAAATGGCTTTCAATAGCTGCTTTATGAATATCAAAAATAAGGCTTTACATCACTTTTTAAAAGAGATAGTGCACTCAGAGGAATTTATAAACTTATTTGGTTATGAAAGGCAGCTACCATTGTACAAACAGAATTTGAAGGTGCTTTAGTACTAGCATACCTGTACATTTAAACTCTAAGGAAAAGTGAAAAAGGAACGAGAGAAATAGCAGCAAAGAGGGGGCTTAATCTCTGCTTGAGAATGCAAGTATGACAGCATACTGTCATTGTTGAGGGGTTGAAACAGTGTCCTCAAAACAGGAGAAAGGGAATATATAACTTTAGGTGGAAAATATATTCGGCAGGTTAAGTGAGTAAATGAAAGTTTCTATGTTCCATTTATCAAAGTAATCTAAAAACTGTACTTAAAAGAAGAAAAATTATACACTGATGCCTTGAATTGCTGTTGAGAAAGAACCATTTGAACAGAAATGCTGACATCCACTAAACAAAGTAGAAGCAAATTAGCAACCACTTCATTTTTTTGTGCTTCCTTACTAGAGATTCCCAGTGATAATCAGATATGTTTTAGTTATGAGAGGATTCTTCTATGGCAAAATTCATAAAGCATGAAATTCCCCATTTTAACCATTTTAAAGCATAGAATTCACTGACAGTATGTTCATCATATTGCGCAAGGCTCAACCACCATCTAGCTCCAGAACATTTTCATGACCTCCATGATGTCACTTTAGTCAGTTCTTTTTTCATAATGTTATAGTTCCCCTTCCCACATGGACCACCTACCAGGCTGTGAACTTGTCTTCTGCTTCTGAACCTTTTCCTTTTTAAACTTTGGCACTATTCGAAATACAGTGCTTCTGTTGTTTCTTTTGGTGCAATCCATAGGAGGTTCCTGTTCAAATCGAGCAAGAAAATAATTTTTTCGGGATATGAAAAGGAGAAAAACCTACTCTGATAATAGGGATAACACAGGAATAAGTTATAAACACTAAACATTATAGAAGAGTGATAACTTCTTCAAAAAAAGTTCATAATGTACTACTGAAAATGTCCCAATTCCCCTAAAATGCCTTTGTTCACATAAATGCCTTCTCTCATTTGTTCAAGAGCAGAACATTTGAAAACAGTATTCAAAATTCATTTTTCCCTAAATATCTCTTTTTCAAAGATGAGTTCAAATTCTCTAGTGATATGGTCTACATTTCTAGAGAAACAGGCTGAATTTTACATACCTCATCCTCATTTGGGTGTAAGATATAATAAAGCCAAGGAATCTCTGTCAATTTCTGTAATTCCACCTCCACAGAGTGTAAGGCATTGGATACCCGCTCTTCATGTGGCGATTCCAGCTGCTATTTACCAGAAACAAAACAAGCTGCTATTTACCAAAACAAAACAAGACTCGGTGGCCAGCCTCAAGTAGAATAAATCATTGTACTTTGACAGTGAACGGCCTCACTCCTTATTAAGCTAGTATTTTTTAAATTAAGGAATATTAAGGATAAATTCTTTTATATTGACTTCATTTTTAAAAATCTGAATAGATTTACTCTAATCATTACTTCCCAAAGATCATATGAGTAGCTAGTGTAACTTTAATAACTTCATAGAAGAAGTATTCTTTTGGTGTTTTTTTCCGTGTAAATGTCTTCTTTCCTATCTCCCTCCATGCTTTCCAAGCATTTATCTACCAATTCTTCCTGGTGGCATAAGTGTGCAGTCTTACTCTTCTACTTATTTGTGCCAAAAATCCTTCTGATTTAAATAGGTCACCAGGCTGGGCATGATAGCTCACGCCCATAATCCCAGCATTGGGAGGCCGATGTGGGTGGATCATTTGAGGTCAGGAGTTTGAAACCAACCAGGCCAACATGGTGAAACCCCGTCTCTACTAAAAATACAAAAATTAGCTGGGCATGGTGTTGGGTGCCTGTAATCCCAGCTCCTTAGGAGGCTGAGGCAGGAGAATTGTTTGAGCCCGGGAAGTGATGATTGCAGTGCGCAGAGATAGCACCAGTGCACTCCAGCCTGGGTGACAGAGCCGGAGACTCTGACTCAAAAAAAAAAAAAAAAAAAAAAAAAGTCACCACATGAACACATAATACTTTTAAAACTGGTTAAAAACTTGTCATATAAAAAGAACTGCAGAAAAATCTCCTTGAAAATTTAAAGAATAAGCTTAAGGGAAAAAAAACATGAATCTTAGAAAAATTTGTGATGAAAAATTGTTGTAAAAATTGGGGCAAAACAAAAAGCTCAATGGCTTATCATCTGAAACTGGGTTTGGATATTTTAAGGAGAATTTAACTGCTCACGCATTATCTGCATTAACTCATTGAAAGTAGGTATTAAAATGCACTTACAAGTTCAATAAATGAATAAAGATTAAATAAACATTCCTCTGCACAGAACTGGAAGGCAGTACATTGGATTCTACTCCTGGCCTTGTAATTAACTATGTAACCAAAAGAAGGTTAACTGACTTCAGAAGACTTTGTTTCTTCCTCTGGAAATAGCACAAGGTGATGATGATGATTATTATTTGAGACACAGTCTTGTTCTGTTGGCCAGGCTGGAAGTGCAATGGCGCAATCTCAGCTCACTGTAACCTTGGCCTTCTAGGTTCAAGCAATTCTCGTGCCTCAGCCACCAAAGTAGCTGGGATTACAGGCGCATACCACCAGGCCCGGCTAATTTTTGTATTTTTAGTAGAGATGGGGTCACCATGTTGGCCAGGCTGGTCTCAAACTCCTGGCCTACAATGAGCCGACCGCCTCAGTCTCCCAAAGTGCCGGAAATACAAGCGTGAGCCACGGAGCCTGGCCGACTAGATTATTTTTGAGGTCTCTGCTAGCTAACCAATATATTTATAAACTACTTTAAAATTATAGAGTTCTTACAAATATGATTATAGAATTTTAGAACTAAAAGTTCAGAGATAATTATTACTGTTATGATGAACTGTTTTGTGTGTTTGTTTCCCCTTGTTATTCACGGTATCTACCACTTCTAGTAGTGATTAAAAATATGGAGATTCTTGGCTGGGCGCGGTGGTTCATGCCTGTAATCCCAGCACTCTGGGAGGCTGAGACAGGTGGATCACTTGAAGACAGGAGTTTGAGACCAGCCTGGCCAACATGGTGAAATTCTGTCTCTATTGAAAAGAAAAGAAAAAAAAAAAAAAGCCATGCGTGGTGGTGCACGACTATAGTCTCAGCTAATCTGCAGCTGGGAGAATCACTTGGAACCACTTGAGGTTGCAGTGAGCCGAGATTACGCCACTGCGGCAGAGTGCCTCCCTGTCTCAAAAAAAAAGGAGATTCTCTACCCTGTTGTGTTTAAAATTTATTAATTTTCTTTTAGTCTAAGAATATGTCTTATAAAACTTGTAAAATGGTTATCACAAATTCGTTCTGGCACTAAAATACAGAGTAAACCTTAGTTGCTCTCAAATACAATCAACTCCTTATTGTGATATCACTATTGTCAAAGGTTTTGGTAAAATTCACCAGTACACATTTTAAACCAAAATTCATATTTAACAATGAGAGAAAATTAAAAGTGGAGAAGGAAAGTCAGTCCATATTAACATAATACAAATAATAAATATTAGCAAGGTAGCACTCAGCAGGTACTTTTCATGTAGAGAAAATAAGTACAGAATAAGTTATGCTTTTAGTTATAAGAAATGATCTTCACAGGTCACTGGATTTCCTATAGGACTAGCAGAAGATTCTGGTTAAAAACAGTAGTGCCAAAAAAAGCCAAGAAGGGGTTCCATTGGTTTATCAAAAGAGACAACCAATGTTTCTTCGTAAAAGGTTTTCTTCATGGCCACAGTAGAGCCAGCCACCTCTTGTCCCTCTTGTCCCACCTCTTGTCAGTTTCTTTTGGAGGTAAGTAAGAACAATGGCCTTCATGCAGTCTTTCAGCTTCTCTTCTAAGAGCAAAGGATGTTCCAAAGGTGGCACTTTTCTGGACCATAGGCGAAAACAGAAACCCTAAGCTCGGGCACTTAATAGCAAGGCTGTGGGACGCACCTCCCATTCATTCACCCGCTGTGCCAGATACTGTGACTCTTAGTATCACTTTTATTTAGGTGTAGATTTGCCCAACCAAGAGAGAAAATTACTGTCAAAAGAAATATTTTAAGATCATCAACTACCAATTAAACAGAATTGTAAAAAGGAATAAAAAACAGCAAATGAATTAGGCCTTCCACACAGTGGTAACAGCATGTGGGAATGAGCCACAATCGAACTCTAGGTGGCGGCAAGAGCCAAGATGCTAGAATACTTGAAAATGGTGAGGTATTTGTAAAGAAAGGCTAACTAACAGGACACCCACAAGCTTCCAGCATTTATGCTTGAGATCTGTGGACTGTGGTGAGATTCAGATTTGGCCTAAACTTGATTTCCAGGACCAATCTGGATTAAACAAGGCAGAGTTTTTGAAATTTAGTTCTTGAAACACTGTGTCTAGAAAACGTCCTCTTTTAAGCAAACCTGGAGGACCATACCAATCACATTCAAATGTTAATTCGGGGAAAAAACTCCATGAGTTCCTCTACTTGTGTGCAGTAGTAAGTACCTGAGGAATGTCTACGACACTTTATAAAGCTCACGTCTCTCGAAGCTGAATGGGACAGAGCAGGGCTGCCTAAAAACAGGATGGCATATATGAGGGGAAATCTCCACTCCTGTTAGCCTGAATCATGAGTCCTAACTTCAGCCATATATTTTCTTGAAGACAAAGGCCAGGTGAAGAGGAGCTCTCAGGATGGAAGCCAGAAGGCTGCTTCTGCCTTAGAATCTGCTGAATGCCTGTTCCCCAATAAAGGTAAGACCCAGACATTTAATTCATCACTCTTATGTTATCAATCATTCTTCTCCTTACCAAAGGAACCCTGCCAACTAGCAAAGATTCCGTTTCATTATACAGCGCCTTCACATTGATGGCTATTTCAGTGGCAGTGTCTCTTGTAAGACTCTAGAAAAGAAGAATATCAAAGACATGTGATCTGTTTTAAAATAGGATTTCATTACCAGTAAATACTTTAAATTTTATTCTTATAATTTAAATTCACAGCACACATTTTTTTAATCTACCAAAATTCTATAATTGCAAAATTTCATACATTTGTTAGTATGACTATCTCATTATTACTATATTATAGAACCAAAAGAATGCACCAACTACAGTGAATACACTCAGGATCACATCTCCTACCTAATGAATATATGTATGCTAGTACCAGCATATACATATTTCCATTAAAAAGTTCAGTGAAATAAAACTTTTCCTCTCAGTAGCACTAACCATATTGCTGTTTAGACTATAATCTTGAGAACAAGTACTTAGTTGTATATTAATTTAAGTAACTTCAATCAAATAATAATAAAAAAAGCTATCAGTTTTCTCTACACTATAGCATTGTACCATGTATCACATTTTAATAGTTATATTCTATCAATTCTATTATTAACTTCTACATTAAAAATTTTACAGAAGTATCAATTTCCAATTTAGCAAAACAAAATGAAGTAGCAATAATTTCAGTGCACAACTTCAGAAATGAATGAACATCTCTAAGAAATGCACACTGATGATATCTAGGCTTGCCCTTTAACAAGGCACAGGGCAGAAGGTAAGGTAAAAGGAGTAAGGAAGGACGATAAAAGTTAAGAAAAGAGTGAAGGCAGATGAAAGGTGACAAGTGATTGAAAGTGGAAACATAAAAAATGAGAGAATTTAAGAGCAGGAATGAAAAAAATAACAGGAAAAGGAAAATAAACAGTTGGCCACAATTTTACTGCAAGTTTGTAGAGACTCATATAGACAACATAACTTTCTTTCGCAGGGCAGGGCATATTTTACGAATTAAAATACATGTGTAACACCCAAAAGAATCTGTGGAATGAGAATTTACCATTAGATCCTCACCTCCGGGCACCTTGGGTTGGCTTTATTCAGGGCATGAGAGCAGGCATTCACAGCATGGGCCAGTTCTTGCTCCAAAAGACAATGAATTGTGGCTGCGTCACAGATCCTAAAAGCAAAAATGAAACAAATAAATAAAAAACTTTTCTGAGTATTGCTCATTTTTTTTTGAAGTAAAGAAGTGTTAGGATAAAACAAGTAAGAAATATATGAAGATCAGTAAGGAAGAACATTTTTAATGGCTGCTCAATTATGAACTACACAGGTAGATCTACAAATCCAGACCCCACTGCAACAAAAAATATGAAATAAAAAAACTTGTATAAAAAGTTAGGCTTAAAATCAGAGGGAGACACACTGAAGTGCTATTTTGAAGAATGAAGTATAGCAGTACTTCATTTTGCAGTATCCTTGGAAAGTGAGAGGGATCACAAATATAAAGACTAGAAACTTCTCTTTCATTCATTGAAACTGCAAATGCAACAGATTAGGGAAGAGCATTACCGTATTTGTCATGGATACACAAAGTGATCACAAGCAGTATGTAAGTTAATATCCATGGCCTTTAAATGTAGCTATGATTTATTATCTCCATATTATTGATGATGACATTGAGGCTCAGAGAGAGGTGGTATGTATACAGAGCTAGTCAGCTGTACAGCAGGATCGGAATCTATGTCTATCTAACTCCAAGCCTGTTGTGCCATACTCCACTGGTATCTGAACCTCTAAGAATAGTCCTGAAAAGACCAAATTCTGGAAGGCACTAAGGCCAAGGACAAGAAAGGAGAAAAAGTTCCTCCAATTGCTAGACAATGATGTAAGCCTTGCAGATGAGCAAGAAGGCAGGGCTGTTCAAATGTTTTTTTGCTTCTGACAGCTTCATAGAAAAATATTTTCTATCTGGAAAGGGTAGAACAAGAAAAGGGACCGAAGCCCTATATAACTGAACCAAGAGTAAAGAAAAATAATTTAATTCTTAAGGATTATACAATGGATATCTGAGGTACAAAGAGGCTTACAAATGTCACCTCAGCACTACTGTCAGCAACCCTGAGAAATCATGAAGAACGGGCTGTTTTTCAGAACAGAGATGGATAAAGGTTATTCCAATTTTCAGAGAAAGGGAAAGACATAAATCAACTTCAGATCAACATTTCTAATTGCCTACTGAATCTCCTAGGTATTTTTAATGTAATTTAAATTCTAAAGTCCAACATGGAACCCATTATTTTCCTTCTAACACCTACTCCTCTTCCTGAACCCTCTGACTCCATCAAAGGCACCCCACAATCATCCAGCCACTCATTAGAACATTAAGGTCAGCCTGTCTCCTAATTCATGCCCATTCACCAAATTTAAATCCTAAACTGTCTTTAATCTCACTTGTCCTTTCTATCTCTACTGCTTTAGTCTATCATTTTTTATAGGGACAACTTCTACAGCATCCTCAGTGTTCACCTTGCCCCAGCTTTGCTGTCTTCCCAAAAAACCCCTCCACACTACTTCTAGAACAGCCCAATAAAGATCTGGCTCCTCCTCACCTCTTCATCTACATTCCACACACTCTTGCATACACTGTGCCAACCTTTCAGTCACCCCAAACTCTCTGAGATTTCCTGAAAGTAGCATGCACTCACACTCCTCTGGGCCTCTTCCTAGGCTGGTTCCCATGCTTAAATTGCTCCTTTTCTTACTCTTCCCTCAAGACTCAGTTGAAAGGTCACTTCTTCCAGGCAGCCCTCCTTCACTACCTCTGACCTCCTCTGTGTATCTAGAGAGTCCACTGTGTGCCTCATGTCAACACTTTGGCCACATTTCTCCCTCCTACGAATCTGTGAGCCAATTAAGTAGTGCTGTCAAATAATCATCTTGTATCTCCAGCCTAAAACAGTGCTTGGCCCACAGAAGAGGCTCAAAAATGGAATATGTTTGCATAGTCAATGAATAAATTCTGAAAATAGACAACTAAGCCTGATTTCATCTGCAAAATTTAAAAACAGATGGGGGAGCCAAACTGTGTTGACCAGAAGCAAGCCTAGTCAACCTCTGCTTCCTTTTTACGATAAGATTATTTGGATGGTTCACAGGATGAGAACATGGAAGTGTATTTTGGTTTCCAAAAAACGCTGTAAATTAGAGGCCACAGAAGTTGTCTGTAGTATCTAAAAGAGATGTGTTTACTCTAAAACTAACAACCCTATGGATAAGAAGCTGAGATGTAAAATAATGCAGGTGTGTGGGTATAGCTGAGTAAATATTCATTTTCTCTTCCCTTTCTTCTGAGTTGCCCAGTATTTTGCAGTTGTAAGACTTGATTCTAATTCTGATTGTTGATCTAGCAGTAGGGGATGTATGCCTTTTCTCTTCTGTCTCTAACATCTCGTACATTCTAGCTATCTAATAAATATTAGAAGAGTAGAGTAAGGAATGGGAGGGGAGCAGATGGCAAATAGTAGAGAGGAGGAAATATGTGAGTTAGCCCCTGAAACCACTGAGCTTTGCTTTCCTTCTTTTCTTTTTCAACATTTTTATCAGTGACCAGATGAAGATGTGGGAAGAATCTAAAGTTACTGTGCACAGAGCACTCAATATGCCAGACATGATGTGTGATGTCAGTTGGCTGTGTCCCCACCCAAATCTCATCTTGCATTGTAGCTCCCATAATCCCTATATGTCGGTGGAGAGACCAGTGGGAGGTAACTGAATAATGGGGGTGAGATTTTTCTGTACTGTTCTCGTGATAGTGACTAAGTCTCACAAGATCTGATGGCTCTATAAAGGGCAGTTCCCTTGCACACACACTCTTGCCTGCTGCCATGTAAGACGTGCCTTTGCTCCTCCTTTGCCTGCTGCCATGATTATGAGGCCTCCCCAGACATGTGCAACTGTGAGTCTATTACACCTCTTTTTATTTTTTCTTTTTTTGGAGACGGAGTCTCACTCTGTCATCCAGGCTGCAGTGCAGTGGCATGATCTTGGCTCACTGCAACTTCCACCACTCAGGTTCAAGTGATCCTCCTGCCTCAGCCTCCCAAGAAGCTGGGACTGCAGGCGCCTACCACCACAGCCAGCAAATTTTTGTATTTTTAGTAGAGACAGGGTTTCACCATGTTGGCTAGGCTGGTCTCGAACTTCTGACCTCAAGTGATCCACCTGCCTCAGCCTCCCAAACTGTTGGGATTATAGGAGTGAGCCACTGTGCCTGGCTTTAAACCCGTTTTTCTTTATAAATTACCCAGTCTGAGGTATTTCTTCATAGACATATGAAAATGGACTAATACAATGTGCTTATAGCACTCACCCCTAGAGTCTCATTTAATCCTCACACACCCTCGTGAAACAGCTCTTATTAACCCCATTTGGTAGATAAGACTCAAGTGAAGAGGAAGTAAGACACAGGCCTATGGTCCCTCCTCCCCTCTGAAGTTTTCCCTGGTCATAGTGATTGTTATTTGTTTAATACTCATAGGACTTGTGTTTTATCTCCTGTCTATTGAAATTAATTTATGTGTGGTCTCAAAATATCTCTAATATCTTGTCTGAAGCTGCTTTTTGAAGTCTGTTTATTCTTTTTGCTCCTGACTCTCCCCTGGAACAGGATTAGTGTTTAGACTTCCCTCTCCATTCCATAAACATTTAATTAGTAATTAGAAGGCAACATGTCAGTGGGCAGTATAGTGTGAAGACTATATATAAAATGGAGAAATAAGCAATAATGGAAAGAGTGCTGTGCGAAGAAGAGTAATTGCATCTCTTTTTGATACCACTACTGAAACAATGTGTTAAGATTAAAAAACCAAAAATTAGCTGAGACCAGAGTTCCCGCAGCCTGAAAAGCCAGCAGAGCCCCCTACCTAGTAATGAGCTCCTCTGCAGCCTGGGAGCACAGCTGCATCTGCGACACCTCTTCCGTTGCTAAGTCAATGGCATGATGGATGTACAAATGGGTTCGGAGAACTGGTTTACCAGAATCACACTTCTGCTTATCTTCCCAAGATTTCAGAGTGCTCTCAAAGGCCTATTTAAAATCAATATTGTAATGAATTGTTAGTTTTGAACTCAGAGGTCCAAGTAAATGTGTACTTTAATAAAACTACAATTGCTTTTTCTCTAATGACTCCTCAAATAAATCACAAGTATAAAAAAGACATTTCAAAGTTTTCCAATGTACTGCAACACATGAAAAGTAGTGCAGTCAATGATCATGAATACATCATTTAAAAGCTAAAAAAGAGATTAGTTGAAGGCGGGATGATCACTTGAGGCCTGGAGTTGGAGACCAGCCTGGGCAACATAGTGAGACCTCATCTCTACAAAAAAGAATTTTTTTAAAAAAATTAGCTGGGCTGAGGTAGAAGGATTGCTTGAGCCCAGGAGTTTAAGGTTGTGGTGAGCTACGATCATACCACTGTACTTCAGCATGTGCAATGAAGCAGGACTGTTTCAAAACAAAAGCAAAAAAACAAACACACACAAAAAAGATTTCATGCTTCAATCTTTACTATTGCTTCAATTTATTCTTTAATCTTTACTATTTTATATATACTAGATGGGGCAAATATTAGCAGTCTTCTTTGATAAAGATTGACCTTAATTGAAAACACACATTCTGTGAAAAAGAAAATAATAGAGACAGTAAAAAAAAAAAAAAAATCGATGATTGCCCGGAGTAAGGGTGAGGGAGGGAGGGATGAGTAGGTAGACCACAAGGAATTTTTAGGGCAGTGAAATAATTTTGTATGATACTGCAATGGTGAATACAAGTGATTATATCTTTGTCCAAACCCACAGATGTACAACTCAAAGAGTAATGGAAACTATGGACTTTAGTTAATAATAACCAATCAGTATTGACTCAGCAGTTTTAACAGATGTGCCACACTAATGCAAGATGTTAATAGGGGAATTTACATGTGTAGGGAAGAAGGGGGAGGAGGAAGTATATAGGAACATAATTTGAATTCTCTTTACTTTCTGCCCAATTTTTCTGTAAATCTAAAATGGCTCTAAAAAATAAACTCCTACTTAAATAAATAAATATTTGTTCATATTTCAAACCACCAAGACCTAAATGTCAGATTTAACAGACAATTTAAATGTTTTAGTTTTCTATTTTTTCATAACGATCTCAGAGTCTTTAAAAACCTGACAATATTCTAGAAGAATGTTTTTGTTACATACTCTGTCCCTTGTTAGCATTTGTGCTCTGTTTTTGTGCACAATTTTGATAATCCCTGGAGGCTGAACCCATGCTTCACCATCCACTTGCACTGGGACTCCTTCGTCACCAAATATAGTGATTTTTACTGTACGGCACTGAAATAAAACAAATTATTTTACAGTACGAATCATCTGGAGAAAATGACACTAAATCTATATGCAGGCTTGAGTATTAGACTATTCTATAGGATAGAATATTATGCTTTATCATTTATAAATGACATGGTAAAAACTGATAGGACAACGAAGTCTGAATATTATAGATGAATATCCAGTGTAGGAGTCATTTAGAATAGATTCCCTCAACCCTCCTTAGCCCAAGAAGTGCAGTCAGGTTTGATGAGAGAAACCAACCTGGGCTATTCGATGATGCTGCAGTTTAATGACCCTTGAAACTGCCATTTGCATGCTATCAAATATTGCTACAACTTCCAGGATCTTGTCATCAAATGACGGTGCAGCAAATATCTGAAAGGAAAAACTACATTGCACTTCTACTGAATGTTTAGGGGAAGAGCACATCAAGCAATGTAAACTGCTATATATATATATATAAATTTTAATATATTTAATAATATATTTAAGTAAATATTATTAGGAAATAATCCAATAAAAAAATCCCTGAAGATGACTTACAATAAACATAACTTTAAAAAGAGTTTTCAAACATACATGGATATACTACTCATATCTCTCATTAAGCTACTCTTTGGACCAGTTAACTAATATATTTCTAAATGATTCATCTTGGAATAAAACATGTTAAATACATGTTCATACGTAATTCAAATGTGTTAATAAGATGATACATGTAGGTTTTGAAAATCTAAAAAAAACTAGACAGGTGATACAGTTTCCTAGAAAGGTGACAGAGTTTCATAAGGTTAAAGTTAATGAAGATGCAAATTATGATCCAGTTCACTTGCTATGTTCTAAGGGAAATCTTGCAAGGTTTTACAAGCAATATATACATGTGCTTTATATTTTAATACAAAACTTTTGAGGGAACTTGAGAGTATGCAAATAGAAACCTCAGAGGATAAAAATTATGCAGACTTATTTTGTCTTTACATTAGATGCATTTTCACAAAATTAATTTACTCTAAAATTTTATATGTAGGCTGTATTACCTAATCATTTTTACTCTCTCTTTTACCATATCATAAATAATATGCATCTGAAACAATTTTCTGTATAAAGTAGTAAGCTAATTAAAACTTTCACTGAAAATATCAGGACACAAAGTTGCTAACAGTGATGATTTCTTGTAATTTTTTTTATTATACTGCCTGAATTTAAACCCTGTCTCTGCTAGTACTAACTGGAAACTATGCCTTAGATTCTTCAGTGGTAAAAATCAAATAAGCAATGTGGGTATTAAATAATGAATGTGAAGCTCTTAGAACATTGTCGGACTACCTAGTAGGTGTTCAAGGAATGTTGGCTTTATTTATCTTAATCTCACTGATTTCTCCCCTTCAAAATACTTAATAGTGACAAGCAGACAAAAGATGTTCTTATACTCAAATAGGACTGGAATATATTTATGTTATGAAAATTACAAATACTTTCCAATTGATCTTATACTTTAATCCCTACCTGTCCATTTAAGATCTTTGAGAAAAATAGATCAGTAGGAACCATTATATCGTTATATCATAAACTGAAAATCAATGGATGTGACTCTTCAAATAAAGACTGTGATCACACTTCTCATTTTTACTGATATATACATACTTTGATAATTGTGCCCTCTCTTTCATTCTTTTCACAACAATTACATTTGTAAGGTTGTGTTTTCTTCTTTTTTAATATAGAAAAGTATGAAAAGAAAAACAAAAATAGCCCTAAACCTGATCGGCCAAATGAGCCCTCTTGATATTTCTGAAAATAAAAAAATATATACACACGCAAGTTTAGAAAATTAAAAGTACTGAGGCTGGATGCAGTGGCTCATCCCTGTAATCCTAGCACTTTGGGAGGCTGAGGTGGGTGGATCACCTGAGGTCAGGAGTTCGAGACCACCCTGGCCAACATAGTGAAACTAAATGCAAAAATTAGCCAGGCGTAGTGGTGCGTGCCTGTAGTCCCAGCTACCCAGGAGGCTGAGGCAGGGGAACTGTCTCAACCTGGGAGGTGGAGGTTGCAGTGAGCCGAGATTGTGCCACTGCACTCCAGCCTGAGCGACAGAGTGAGACTATGTCTCAAAAAAAAAAAAAAAAAGAAAGAAAGAAAATTAAAAGTACCAAAAGGTATTGTTGTAGACAGAATAATGTCCCCTCTCTGCCCCCTAAAATGTCCATGCCCTAATCCCCCAAACCCGTGAATCTGTTACCTTACATAGCAAAAGGAACTTTGCAGATGGGATTAAATAAACAGCCTTGAGATGGGGATGATCCTGGGTGATCTAGGCGGGCCCAATGTAATCACAGTGGTCATTAAAAGTGGAAGAGGGAGCAGCAGAGATCAGAGAGATGCCATGTGAGAAGGATTCAACCTGCCTTTGCTGGCTTTGAAGATGGAGGGGAATGTGGGCAGCCTCTAGATGCTCCAAAGACAAGGAAGTAGGGTCTCCCCTAGAGCCTCCGGAAGGCAACAGCCCAGCTGACACCTTGATTTTAGCCCAGTAAGACTGTGCCAGTCTCCCATCATATACAACTGTAAGATGATAAATGTGTGCGAGGTGGCTAAATTTGTGTTAACTTGTTATAGCAGCGATAGAAAACAGATGCAGGTATAAAATTAAAAAGTAAAATCTTCCCTTCCTTATTTCATAAATCTACTTTCCAAAAGCAGATCCTTTAATGTTCTTCCAGAAACATGAGAAAAGTTAGAGGACATCCACAAGAGACTGTTACAATAAAATCCTAAATAAATCTATTCCATGCCTCATTTTCCCAATGCAAAATACTTAACATGAAATTAAATTACTATTCAATAGCACATTTAAAAAAGCCAATTATTCCAGTGATATAATTATTTTTGAGGAAACCAACTATTTACTCCCATTACTTACATCATCCTCTTTAGTTCCACCCCAAAAGTTAGTGCCTCCAGCATAGCTGGGAATGTTCAACACAGCTATGCCTTGCAAGCTGGGAAGAGGAATATATTGCCCATCACACTGTAAGGTAAAAAAAAAAAAAAAAAGTAGAGATTTGATAAAAAGAGCAGAACCACTAGTTTGGAAGATACTAAAACACTAAAGATGAAGGACAATGGAGCAGAGTGTGTTGGTAATGCCTGCTCTCTACACATTACCAAATCATTTATCTTACTTTTTAATTAAAAAAAATTGAAGTATAAATAACTATAGCAGAAGTTATTACAAAAAACTGATTTTTAAAAAAATGTTTTACCTCTTTCCTCCAAAACCAGACAGTCCTTTTCTCGAGTCATTTTCGGGCCTCTTATGTACTTGCACCTGCATTGTGGTCCTCTATGTACTTATTTTAGGCATCTTTTTGAAAGCAGGATGGGTAAGAGCAAGTTGATCCTAACCATCTCACTTAGCCCTTCTCACAGTCCCTCATACATTGCTGGGGCTCTACAACCACCTGGGGACTGATGAAACTCAAAGCTGAGTACTTCAAGTAGTTAGAACCAAAGTCAAGCAAAAATATATGCATCTCGGAAAGCTCCTTGCAGTCCTTACTTTCTCATTAATCACTTAAATGAAAAGTAAATTACCATGTAAATGGCAAAAAAGGATATGGCTGGTGAAGGGATGTGAATACATTTTTACTGAGTAGAAGCAGAACTGTTACCTTCTCTCATAAATGTTGTTTCTTAAATTAATTTCAATTAATGCTGTTTATTCTATTAACTCTTAAAAAAAGCCTAGTTGGCTATTAAGGAGACAATCAGTTATGAAACTAATTTTTTAAACATTACTCAAGAAAATGATCATAATTATGTTACACACGTTTTATGAGGATCATACTTATTATTTTAATTAACATTTAAACCAAACCACTTGACATTTTTCTAAGTGAACATTTAAATCCAGTGGAAATGTTTAAGCCTTCATTTTAAAAGAGAAGAGCTTGCAGATGTCACACCTACAATGGATGCTATATTTTCATTAAATAATTCTTATATTAAAAATAATTAACATAGCTTCTTAAAAATTACATTTTAATGCCCAGTAAAAATTATTTCCCAACAGAAAGAAAGAAACTGTATTTCTGAGACTGTGACAGAATAATTTGTTCTAGGGTAGAAACCAAGGTGAGGGGAAGAATTTCTGTAATGGGACATCTTATTGAAAAGAGCATTAAGTCCCACTGGTCTGGGATGGTTTGGGTTTAGGGAAGATGGAAGGAAAAGGTCTCAATGTCAAGAGTACCAATATTTTCTTTAATGTCTATTCAGTAGTGAGGTTCTGATTCCCCACGTAAACTGGTGAAAATCCAGGGCAGAGACCAGCAAACATCTGGAAATTGTTACAGCTGGTCCAAGATGACCTCGTAAGAGACTTCTCTGCTCTGTGAATCTGAGGACGGGGAAGAATAAGAGCTTAGTGGGGGCGTATAGGAGGTTAATCTCATCCCCAAGTACTGCAAAAAACGTTCACCATCAGAATCACATAGAAGCTTGTGTTTGCTAATTCAGCCAAAGTCAGTTCTTGGGAAGACCTCAGGGTTACCGGCTTATTGGAATGGTGTAATGGATGAAGGCCAGGATTGGCTGATTTACCTTCACGGGCATTTTTCACAATTCCTATTTTTCTTTTTCATGAAAACACAGTGTTAACCATTAGCAGGTTTAGCTTTTCACATTCAAAGGTCCATGCACCCGTGGGTGTGTCTGGCACATAATTGGTGCTCAATGTATATTTGTTCAATGAATAAATATGAAATACTTAACAGAATAATAAACTTTTTCTCAACTCAATACATTAAACAGATATCTTTATGTGCTTTAGAAAAAGCTGCTTTAAATCATGACTAACAAAGAAAATGGGGAAAAATACTATCTGTAAATATAAAAGAAATATTTTAAAAAGATTTTCCAAATGGATGCACTTTATTTGCAAACATGGTATGGAAAACAATGAACATTTTCAGAAGGAAGTCCCAAGTGTAGTGCTGAACTGAACATGCATATATTAAGCCACACACCTAAATCTAACTGATTAATGCCCATTTCATAGAGTCTTATAGGAAAAATATGAGGAATACAGATTCAGCAAATTAACAAATTCACATGATTCAAAAGTTTCTTAAATCCAGGAAAAACTTCAGGAGTGTTAAACTTTTAAAAAATATTTCCAATAGCCCCAAATATCCATTATTTTTATTTATTATTTTTGAGAGATGGGGTCTTGCTCTGTCGCCCAGGCTGGCAAGTAGTGGTGCCATCATAGCTTACTGCAGTCATGAACTCCTGGGCTCAAACCATCCTCCTGCCTCAGGCTTCCAAGTAGCTGGGATTACAGAGCTGGCCGCCTAGCCATCCCATGTTTCTGTTTGTGGTTCACGATGTTGCAAAATGCTACAAAACTGCAGCTATATATTTTTTCTTATTAGTGTCTGTTTTCTCTGCTCCTTTCACCGGGCAATCTGATATGGAGGGAAGATGGTGGAGCTGGATTGAATTCTGTCACTTAGTATTTGGGTAAGTCCCTTAAGCTTTCAGAGCTTTGCTTTGCTCATCTGTAAAATGGGCTAACAATTCTTAGCACACAGTGAGGCCAATGAGATAAGGTAAAGAAAAGCACCTAGAACACACGTGGGAAGTCAGTAAATTTCCTTCTTCAGTTATAATTACAAATTGTCTTATGGAAAAAACACTGGATTTGAAATGTTGGCTCTTCCAGTTATCAGCTGTTTGAATTTAAGCAATGCCTTTACTCTTTTGAACTGAATAATACCTACCCTCATGAGTTGTTAAGAATTAAAGGTGATACGTAGAAGGCATATAGTAAACTTCATTCAAAATGATTTAAAAAGTAGTTACAACTAGTTATTAAGGAAATGAATTAAAGATAGAAATTACTATTAACATAATAAACTAAATTTATTTTGTTTTTTAAAAAGATACAGATTATGGGAAGATTTGAAATAACTAAAAATGTGAATTAGACAACTATTTGTTCTCAATCACATATTTCATTATAGCCTACAGATGAAGGCTATTTTTTAAAGTTATTTGTTTTTCTTCACGTATTTTAGTACTTACAGGATTTGAAGCAATATATAATTATTATTTCAGTTAACAAATAGAACAGGCTGCTTGACCCATGTAAATTAGGTATATTATGGGCAAAAAAATCATCCTTCTTATGAAAAATGTTTGAAATTTTAATACAATTCTTCCATTTACATGTGAAAGGTATTTCTACTCTAAAAGTAGCAAAATATGATACTGTGATGTTATTTCATATTTCTGGAATTCCCAGCATTGTCAAAAGGATTCTGAATCTCACTCCAGATTTCTCAAAGTTGGGTATATATCAGAATCACTGATAATGTGGCTTGGGAAACAAAGTTTGTATTTGTACAGTTCTTTTCTATTTACACTGCGATTTACAGTACCTTAGGCTCATTTATTTATGGTTTGCACAAAATCATTATTTTATCAATTTCGTGTATAGGGAAACCAAAGTCAAAGTCTTTGTTCTGCACAAATTTAAAGTTAGGACATGAAGTCAATCTTGTTCCATATCCACAACAGAATAGGGGAAGGAAAACTTAGCTGAGGAAAAAGGTAAGAGTAAAAAGCAAAAAGGAGGGCCACTGGTGAAGGCATCTCTCTGAAAAGAGCCTCCCAAAGTGTGGGTCTCTCTTTTCCACCTTTATCCCGAGTGAACCATCATCAGATATATGACTCTTTAGACAACAGGCCTTCCACCTTCCTTAGAAGTAGAACGTATCTTTTTGATTTACTTTATTATTACGGATTTTTTGTTAACTACGGCAAAGAATGCTCTACTTTTTCTACTTTATTTTTATGTATATTAACATGTTTTCATTTATCTTGTTTTACTCATTTTATTTACCTTTTTTATCATTTAACATATACATCTACATTAAGTGTTCTTAACTTAAGGTTCAGAAACCAGGAGTCCATGGATAGATTCAGGCGATTTATTAACTTCCTGGTAAAAATCCGTATCTTTATGTTCACTAACCTCTGAAGTTTAGCATTGCCCTCAATTATAAATGTAGGGGGAAAAAGGCATTAGTAACACATGTGATTCCATCATCAATAGAAATGAGACATTTTTATATTACATTATAGATGTTTCAGATATCTTGTAATATAAGTTCATCATTACTTTGAAGTTATGGTATTTATTAGGCATGCCATTAGATTTTTATTTGATACGGTAATGATGAAACACATTATTCTTTAGAAACATAAAAATATGTTGTTAATTTATTTTAATATTATTGGTAAGTCTTCTTTTGTAAGTCTGTATTTCATATAGTGCATTTGAAAACAATATTTTCAGAAGGGGTCTCTATTTTCACCAGAATGCCAAAGGTGTCTACAACTCAAAAAAGATTAAGAACCTTTTAAAAAGAAGAGTACAAAGCAGCTGTGGAAATAAGATATCTTGTTCAAAATTTGGACCACCAGTAGAAGAGGTTACTAATCCTATTTCTGAAGAGCTGAGGCTCTTCCAGGAACTAAGACCATCCAGTCACTCAGATCCAGCTAGTTTTTCAACCCTTAAAGATAGCTGGCTATGCTTGATCACAGCACTTAATGAATTATGCTAAAGTGATCACTTAGCCATCCATTTCCCCCTCAAAACAGGGCCAGCACTGTGCTAAACACTGGAGATAGCAAAGATAAAAACAACCTCCTATGTGTCCTTGAGTGTGGCCAGGCCGGGCGCGGTGGGGCACACCCGTAATCCCAGCACTTTGGAAGGCCGAGGTGGGCGGACCACGAGGTCAAGAGATGGAAACCATCCTGGCAAACATGGTGAAAACCCATCTACACTAAAAACACAAAAATTAGCTGGGAGTGGTGGTGCATGCCTGTAGTTCCAGCTACTTGGAAGGCTGAGGCAGGAGAATCGCTTGAACCCAGAAGGCGGAGGTTGCAGTGAGCCAAGATCACGCTGTGACAGAGCGAGACTCCATCAAAAAAAAAAAAAAAAAAAAAAAAAAAAAAAAAAGTGTGGCCAACCAGGGTATATGAAGAAGAAAAGGAATGATTACATGATTAGTAGGGTACCTAAGCTGACCTGGGCCTGGGGTGTCAAGGATAGCATTTACAAAATGTAAACCTTCCTGATTTTGTACCTTTTTATCCAGTAAGTCTATCTTAAATCTTAGAAGCAATAATAAATCAAACCAGCTGATCATACAGCTGTATGTTTAGAGTGAAAAGCATAATAGGCTCATCTTGACTAGGAAATATAGTTGATAAAGAATGAGCTACAGACACCTCATTAGTCAACACTGCAGTGTTTGGATAATACCCCAAATAATAATGCTCTGTTTATTTTGTTGAGTTGTAGACTTAAGATTTTATAATTCTGTATATGTATGATATGCTTTAATTAAAAATATATGGTTATAAAAAGACACAAAATAGGGAAGACATGCCCATCAGCATCAACAGTGAGTCCTGGATCAAAGGTAAAAGAAAATAAAATTCACAGAAATTAATATTCTTTTCAGAGCCATATCCCCAGCCTTGTTGTTTGTGTTGTTGGAAGAGATAAAATAACTTTTTCTGTCCTTAATTTCCTATTTAAATTAGTTAAAAACAGTAAAACATTTAAATGCTCAAAATCTCTTTTAATTTTACTTGTCGTTAGCAATAATTGGAGCAAAAAATAAATGTACATTTAAATTAAAAGATTCTATTTACTTTAAATGTTATTTTCAGGGATTTGTGAAACTTTGGTTATTACAGAATTGGGTCAGAATTTGGAAGCTTAAATCCATTAAAAACCCTCTCCTATAAATGTGCTCCCTTGGCTCCACTTTTACATGGGGCACCACAACTCCAGAGTAGCCCCAATTTCAGGAACTAATGATGATGATAATTAAGTGTGTCATTCATATCCTGTGTATATACTTCCTTTAGTACAAAGTTGATAATCACATTCATTTTTCCCTTGTATATTTATTTAATCGCTAATCAAAATGCATTTAGGTCAAATTAGCTCCAAGATGATTTTTTTTTAAGTAAGATAATATGAGATATCTTTACTTGAAGATGAACTTACCTCAAGTTGAACCCTTTGTTCTAAATTCTTGTACGATCTCTGTAATAACTCCCGGGTTCCAAGCACTCCATACCACATCAAGTTTTTAGTTCGGCTCCTGAAAATAAATATTGGCAGGTAATTTCAGGACATTTTATTTATTTACTCCTTAAAGGCAAAGCAAGCAAAAGAGATAATAAATGAAGAAAAAATTACCTTTATGTAATAGCATTATTACTTTTACTAAAATTACCTGCATTTTTCAGGGTGCTCCTCTCTTTTATTATTAAATTCTAATGAAATTTTTGCATCTAATCCAATCCCAAAGTAATTGTTCATGACACATTTTTCTGAATATCCATCTCTATGATCATAGGGAAAAGTACATCAAAGTCAATTTCAGCTTCATTACAACAATTACAATTTGTACACAAGACAGTACTTAAAACCATTTAAGCTTCCATTCCTTATAGCAGATTGTAAAACTTAGCACTAATCACTTCCTATTCCTGTGTCATGTCTACAACCACAGGACATGTGTTCAATTTCTGGTACATGTGACATAAAGGGATGGTGAGCAAGGCAAAACAGACACACAATTATGGTGTGATTTTCTCTAACTGTAACAAAATCTTAGTTCTATTTCTTTTTTTTTTATTATCTTAGTTCTATTTCTACATAAGTTCCTCACTACACAGAAAAATGCAGATGATTATGGGAAGGCCTTACAGTCAGGTGCCAATTCTCTCTTTTTTTTTTGTTTATCGTTAGAAAGTCTCCTCTACTTCTACGCTTAATAATGGACAAATATTTATTGAGCAAAAAAGTACTAGATCCAATCCATTCTTCTAGGTGTTTCGGAACGTTTAAAATATGGTACTGTCCTTGAGGAATGTCATTACAGAAATGATATAACAAAAGCAAAATTTAAAAAGGAAGTAAAAGAAAGTATATCTTGAGCTGCCAAAGAATTGTAGGAGTCTTAAGAAGGGGAGAGATCAGCGTGGGCCAAAAGATTCCCAAAATAAGTAAACCCAGAAGCTGGCGTGGAAAGATGACAGATCTGGCAAGACTGAGAAGAAAGGAGGTAAAGGGAATAGCAACAGTTCTATTTATTGGTCCCTTCCTTTGCCAGAGGGTTGCTCTCAGAGAGAACGGGCCGGCTGGAAAAGGACCTACCTCAGGGACAGACCATGGAGACCACTGAATTTTAAAGGTCTCCATGTGCTTGGCATGATCAACTTTTGTAATTTTCTGATCATCCTTTTTATACATGGGACCCTATTTATTGTAATATGTGTAAAATGTGACAATTCATGTTGAAAAGAAACAAGAAGAACCCAAACAAAATATTTGCAAAAGCATTTTCTTACACGGAATCTGGATCCGGGTCAATAAACGGCGTGGCACCGAAAGGATCAATGTTTGCTAGTAACATTTTGTTGATAATTGAACTCCCAGCAATAGAGGCAGCCAGTCCTGCTCTTAAACCTGGACAGAAAAACAAATACAGATGGGATCGCGTGTTAAGAAAAAAACAGAGAAAGAACCAGTCCATGCAGGCCTAATGTCAAATATCTTACTTTTAAAAGCATGGTTTTCAGTGCCTACTCTTCTCATTAATCAAAATTAAGAACAATGACATTTGTGAATACAAGGCATTCGACACTTCCAAGGATCTATATATATAAAGAATTAAGGAGAGGAGGACCTAAATCGGAATGGCTTTGTGACACTTTTCCATTTACCATCCCAATAATTCTATAACAAATAATTCTATAACAAATACATGTTACTTCCTTTGTTATAGCAAAGATGGTATTAAGTCTGTAAGGAATTTACAATAAAGGTGGAATTACCCAAAATGTCATGGAGTTATCACTTCAATATTCTCAAACCATAGATAATGATACTCAATTTAAAATACTAAGAGATGTATTAAGGTGAAGACTCACTGTTAGTTTTAAGAATAAGTAGTAAAGTATTAAAGTAGGTATCTGTGAATTTTAGAAGAATATAGTATTAAATATAAAAAATAAAGCCTCTATCTTACTTCAAATTTATTTCACCATGCTTTCCAACTAGTTTTCTAACTGTTACAGTATTCAAAGCTAATGAATTTTATGATCTACTCAACCCAATATGAAAGCTAGAAGCACTAAAGTCTGGAGAGGAGACAAACTAATAGGGACCTACAAGAACAAGGGAAACACGAGGAAATTAGAAAAACAAGTTCCTTCTTTTTCTTTTTATCTTCTTTAGAGATGAGTCTCACTCTGTTACCTAGGCTGGAGTGCAATGGTGCGATCACAGCTCACTGCAGCCTCGATCTCCCGGGGTTCAAGCAATCCTCCCACCACAGTCTCCCAAGTAGCTGGGACTACAGGCATGTGCTACCATGCCCAGCAAGTCCTTTCTTTAGCAAACATTCCTTTCCTCAGCACTATGCTCTTCTTAGGGAATTATTATCATTCATTATTTTAATGTTTAGGCGATTATCAAATACAATGAATTTTGTTCTTTCGTTTAATGACATAGTTTTGAATATACTGTGGCATACTTCTTTATGCCAATTTCCTTTATGTCTAAACAAGTAAATGAATGAAGAAAACAATAAATTTAGTAAGCATAAAGAACAGTTTGGAGAGGTGAGAGCCACACTCCAGCTGCCCCAGAGGAAAGTGTTAATAATATCTTCCTTCCTTCCTTCCTCCCTTTTTTTTTTTTTTTTTTTTTTGACAGAGTCCCACTCTGTCGCCCAGGCTGGAGTATAGTAGCATGATCTTGGATCACTGCAACCTCTGCCTCCCGGGTTCAAGGGATTCTCCTGCCTCAGCCTCCCAAGTAGCTAGGATTAAAGGAGTGTGCCAGCATGCCTGGCTAATTTTTGTATTTTTAGTAGAGACGGGGTTTCACCATGTTAGCCAGGTCTCAAACTCCTGACCTCAGGTGATCTGCCTGCCTTGGCCTCCCAAAGTGCTGGGATTACAGCCATGAGCCACCGTGCCCAGCCAAGCCAAGTGTTAATATTATCTAAGACGTTTTAGGGTTAGCCATATTCTTCAACTTTATTCCAGAGGGGTTATCCCAAGGTTCCTAGTTGGAATAGGAACACAGCTTCTAAATCTGAAGGCCTTTCCAGAACCAGTTTGTTCCAGACTGATCTTTCTTTTTCTCTTTTAATATTTCTATTCTGATACAATTTATATATTATAAAATTAACCCTTTTAAAGTTTTTAGATAATTCAGTTGTTTGTGTTATATACACAAAGTTGTGCAACCATCACTATTAATTCTAAAACCTTTTCGTTTCCCTGCAAAGTAATGGTGCACCCACTAGCTGTTATTTTCCATTCCATCGATCACCTCACCTCCAGTTCCTTGGGAACCACGATCTACTTTCATGCTTATTCTGCGCATTTCATACAAACGCAGTCATATTACATTTGGCTTCTAGGTTCACTTTCCATAGTGTTTCTATATAGCATGTATCAGTGCTCCATTCTTTCTAATGGGTAGGTAATATTCCATGGTGTGAATATATCACTTTTGTTTATCCATTCAACTGATGGATGTTTGGGTTGCTTCCACTTTGGGACTATTGTGAATCCTGCTATAAATAGTCACGTACAAGTTTTTGTGTAGACATGTATTTTCAATTCTCTTGGGTGTATACCTAGTAGTAAAATTGTTGGGTTACATGTAAACTCTATGTTTAACTTTTTGCGGGACTGTGAAACTATTCTTAAAATGGCTGCACCATTTTACATTCCTACCACCAATGTATGAAAGTTCTAATTTCTTCACATCTTTGCCAATATTTATTATCATCTGTCTATTTTGATCACAGTTATCCTAGTGGCATAAAGGGGCAACTCGTTATGGTTTTAATTTGCATTCCCCCGGTGACTAATGATGTTGAGCATCCTTTCGTGTATTTATTGGCTATTTGTGTATCTTCTTTGGGAAAATGTCTATTTAGATTCCTTTCCCATTTTAAAAGCAAGATATTTACCTTTTTATTGTTGAATTTTAAGAGTTCTTTATATGTTCTGGATACTAGACCTTTATCAGATATATTATTTGTAAATTCTTAAGTTGTCATTTCACTTTCTCAATAGTGTCCTTTGAATCACAATACTATTAATTTTGGTAAAGTCCAATTTATTTGTCTTTTGTGGTGTGTGCTTATCATATCGAAGAAATCATTGCCTAATCCAAAATTATGAATAATTTACATCAATGTTGTCTAAAAATGACTACAGAGAGACTTACGACTTAAAAACCAAAAGGATTCAGCAGAATGCTGAAAAACACCAAAAGGAAAGCTTAAGAAGTAGTAGAACGTAAGTTCAGACTTACTTTGGGAACTTAGTAAATGCAGATTCCTGGACTCCACTCCAGAACTACCAAACCATAATTTCTCAGGGCAGGACCCAGAAACACGTGTGGTTTTTTTGTTGTTTGTTTGTTTGTTTTCTGAGACGGAGTCTCACTCTGTCTCCCAGGCTGGAGTGCAGTGGTGCGATCTCAGCTCACTGCAACCTCCACCTCCTGAGTTCAAGCAATTCTCCTGCCTCAGCCTCTTGAGCAGCTAGGATTACAGGTGTGCGCCACCACACCCAGCTCATTCTTTTGTATTTTTAGTAGAGACAGGGTTTCACCATGTTGGCCAGGCTTGTCTCAAACTCCTGACCTTGTGATCTCCCCATCTTGGCCTCCCGAAGTGCTGCGATTATAGGCGTGAGCCACTGAGCATGGCCAAAACATGTGTTTTAATACTTTTTAGGCAACTGCTATACAGGGAAGAATCTAGGGGCCTAGATTCTGACTGAAAGTATAACAAGAACAGTCTACTAAAAGAACATTTATCTTTAAGAACATGTTTCCACAGTAATGGAAATAAATACTTAACATTTTCGCAGAAATCCTGAAAAACACACAGTGTTTCAGAATCTGTACTACCTGGGCAGATGATTCTGGTATTGAGCACAGGGAGGTTTTCTTTGCTGGCTGCCACAGCTGGACCAGGGACAGAATCAGTTTGGGAATGGCCATGACTTGCCCGGGCATCTGGAGACCGAGGTGCAGTTTTAACTGTTGGCAAAAAGTCCAGATTACAAAGAGACAATGATAAAGCTATAAAAATAAGCAAGTTCCTATAAATTTAAAACATAAAATAATGTTTAAATCAATCAGTAGAAATGAAAATATTATGCATAGCTGTTGTTTACATTTTCTTGAGACTTACATGGAGGGAATCAGAAGTCTTGATTCCTCATCTCAAATAGAAGAAGATCAGTAGAAATAGATGTCTACCATAATTAAAGGTCACTAATACTCATAATGTGAATATGATCAACTCACAGTTAAAGATAAATGAAACTTTTGAAGTCTGCTTATTTTTGAAAATGAAACACATGTGTTATAATGCACCCTACCCATGTAATCCTTTTCTCATAAATATCAAATGAATGATCAAATTTAATTAATGTAATTCTCGGAGCAAACACATGAAACATGATTTAACATTGCCTTCAATAAATGGAAGAGGCTAGGTGTGGTGGCTCATGCCTGTAATCCCAGAGCTTTGAGAGGCTGAGGCAGGAGGATCGCTTGAAGTCAGGAATTGAAGACCAGACTGGGCAACATAGCAAGACCCTGTCTCTACAAAAATGTTAGCCAGGCATGGTGGCATGCACCTGTAGTCCCTGCTACCTGGGAGGCTGAGGCTGGAGTGATCACAGGAGCCCAGGAGTTTGAGGTTACAGTGAGCTATGATCACATCACTGTACTCCAGCCTGGGTGACAGAATAAGACTCTGGCTCATAAATAAACAAATAAATGGAAGAAAAATAGCATCTATCTTCAAGTGAAATTAACATATTTTTCCTGTACTTCTTAATTATTTATTCAAAATGATGATTTGCCCAAACAGTTCTATCATATTCCTGTAAAAGTTCAATACATGTGAAAAATTATTCTAAAATATAATTATTCTCAAAGTAAACAACAAAAAGAAAGATTTAACTCTAAACTGAGGCAAGTTAATGCAGAGCAAATGGTACCTTTAACCAATTTAGGAGTTGCTGGTAGGTATTTTTAAGAAACAGTAATTCTCAAACTCAATTTTAAAATACTCTAAAAATTATCTTCACTCTCCCTAAAACTAATTACAAGCTAACTATATTAATTTTACACTCTATTCTCTCATTCAAAACCAGTCCCATTGCAGTAAAGTAACAGAACAGCCACCCCTTTTTAAAATAGATAGGACTCCTGGGCTAATTTCTCATAAAAACAACTTTTTGATGTTCAACTCTGACAAAAAGCAGGGAGTGTACTAATGACTAAGACTGATGTTCCATTACAGGTAACTAAATTAATGTTTTCTGGTTCTTCTTAAATAAATAATCTCATCAATCATATTAATATACTGTCTCACATCTCAGACATATGAATTATTACATGACACAATAAATGTGCCTCAAAAAGTAGTATTTCATATACTTCTACTTCCACTATTGCTACTGATTTCCAACAAGTCAGATTATTAGCCAAAATAAAGACCAAATACTGTACCATTAAAGACTTTTCTAAATCTGCGTCTATTTCAGTATCAACATTTACAGCACTATATTTGTATTTTTAAATTTCCTTTACAGGCCACAATGGAAGTGTCAAGTTTAAGAGTATGGTAAGGTGGGATGATAACCAGATGGAAAACCATTAAATAAGCTTTGACAAACCAATCCTAACAGCCATCATCTTAGGAGGAATTATTAGTGTATAGTAAGGATGCCATTGTCAGCTCTGCTTTAATCAATACTTTCTAATAGATGAAAACATCTAAGCCCTGCTTATCAAATTCACAGATGAAATAAACTTAAGATGATAGACTCAAGCTTCACAAGACTTCACAGGATGAAATAATGGATCTAAATAAAAAAGATCAAAGTTCATTGGGATGAGTGTAGACTACTATAATTAGGTTTTAAAAAAGAGAAGTCTTGGGTCGTCTTTGTAACATCAAAAATGTCCTGAATGAGTAGTGTACGGGTACCAATGTGCTAATACACCACAGAAAATATCTGAAGAATTTTGTTTAAAAGAGTGCATCACATTTTAAGATAAACATTGACCAAATGGGTGCAACCAGAAAAACAAAAGGTTTAAAATCATCAACTTAAAAACTGGTAGAGAAATTTTAGGGTCAATCATCTGGAAAAGAACATGTAAGGTGAGAGAAGGTCTGATGCCACCAAAGCTGTTTTCGGTATCATTTAAGGGCGGCCACATGAAGAAGAAAGAAGAAGGAAGAAGAAAGAAGAAAGAAGAAGAAGAAAGAAGAAAGAAAAGAAGAAGAAGAAGAAGAAGAAGAAAGAAGAAGAAGAAGAAGAAGAAGGAGGAGGAGGAGGAGGAGGAAGGGAGGAGGAGGGGGAGGAGGAAGAGGAGAAATAACTCCAAAGGCAGAGTCCTCTTTGATATAGTGAAATGTATATGAAATTGCTCCTTAAACTAACCATAAGCACTACATAAAGGCCAGTAGTTGTTACTGTCAAACTATCATTCATAAAACCTAATAATTACTGTAATCATGGGTAGAAATTTAAGGGAGAAAATAGCTCAATATAAAGAATGACTTTCTAACAATTAGAGCTGACCATAAGAGGGGGGTGTATTGAAAGTCAGTGGTCCTAAGGCTTGTGGCCATCTGCTTCAAGGGTCCTAGAACATGCCTGCATTGGGTTGTATGCTGAACATGTGAGGTCCATGAGGTCTGATTTCAAAGTCTTTAAGAGTCTCAAGTACAATGAAATATTCTCTCACAGTTAATGTAATTAGTGGCAGCAGCAGCAGCAGTAGCAATAAAAATAACAACAATAAAGATGACAGTGAACACTCAGACAGCACTATCTACCAGACACTATTCTAGGCACTTTACATACAGTAACTTTTCAACCTTCGCAACAACCCAATGAAGTAGGTAGATTATTATCCTCATATGAGAGATGAGAAAACCACAGAGAGGTTAAGAAATTTGCCCAAGTTTATAAGTAGTGAAAGTAAAAGCAAAAAGTTAATGATTGCAAACATTTTTAAAATTTTTTTGAGAATAAGATAAAAACAGGTATTTAAATTTCAAATAATTTTATCAATTATCTTTCCTTTTACTTACTAAGTTTACATTCTACTTATTTAGCTTCATATTAAAGCTAGAACTCAGCAACAACATATTAATGAACCTACCATCTAATTTTTTTCAAAGTTAACAAGTAATGTTTCAAAGACGTAACATTTAAAATGTACTCACTACTACTAGTCCTGTAGGAAATCGGCCATAAACATGGGGAATGAAAGGTCTTCATCGTGCCAGAGCTCAGGCAGAAAATGTTAATCTGATATGGTCAGCTCTCCATAAATTTGATTTTTTTCCTTGTATGAAAACGTTTCCTTTTTTATAATTTCAACTTTTATTTTAGATTCAGGGGGACGTGTGCAGGTTTACTGTCTGAGTATACTGAGTGATGCTAAGGTTTGGGGTATGATTGATATCATCACCCAGGTACAGAGCATAGTACCCAATAGTTAGCTTTTCCACCATTCCCACCCTCCCACTTCTAGAGTCCCCAATGTCCATTGTGACTGCAAACAGTTCTGATATAATGGTGCTGACTTTTCATAAGTGCCATGTATTTATTTTTGTGTTGCCTCATCTTCATTAATATTTTAATTTCTGCTTTTATTCCAGTAAGTTAGAAACTTTTCCCTTAGGCAATATAAAATATTAAAAGTATAAATTCATTTTCAATTAAAATCTAAAAGGTAGAAAAATATTTAACATTCTTCAGGCGATTACATATTCCTTTCCTTACAAAAATAATTTCAACAAAGCAAGGCCTGTAATTGGAAGTCCTGTGACTTTAAAGCTTGCTTTAAAGTCCTATGATTTTGAAGCTTAATAAGGACTATCAACCCAGAAGGCTGATCGATGGAACTGAAGGGACTGCTGAATCACTTACATGCCCAATTTTGTGCATTTGGAGCGTTAGGAGAGCTGTAGCTTTCTTACAATTCTCAAAGAAATCTGTGAGCTATAATGGGTTCAAATCAGATGATTTAAGTGTTTCTTTCCTCTTTCCTCAGGAAAACCAACATATTTAATCATCCTTAGTCCTATAATCCTTAGTTTACTGTTACATCTCTAGATTACATGATAAAAGAGGGATGTGAGAGCACTGGACAATAGTCTAATCTTAATTATTTTATTATTCATGAATATCTATCTAAGCATTAACTTCCAAAAAGCCTCTTCAAAAATAAAAATACAAATAGTTTTTTTCAAACTGATCAGCCTTTTGAAAACTAAAAGCAAAATGACATTTTATTTAATTCCAAAATAATTTTTTTCCCGTTTCCTCACCAGTTAGTGATTCTTTGGAACCATCGTCTTTGGCTTCCTCCTTAGACTCATCTGTTTCTGTGCTGTCATAATCAGAGGACTGATTAGCTGGTTCACAGGGGTGAACTGTCGGGTCATCCATAACTTCAGGTAGTAAGAAGATAAACAGTTTGGATAGGTAAAAATAAAGTCCATTAATATTAACATATGCTTAGGAAAGGAAAATTGAAACATATGCTAAAAGAAATTCCAGATTCACAAATAAACACTATTTAGCAATGAACTTGGGGTTGAGGTCTGAAGAACTAAAGATTAAAAACTAAAGTTGCTAAAATTATATTTTTATCAGAATAAAAAAGTAAAGTATAAGATTTTAGAGAATGAAATACAAGTTACAACCTATAAAGGGGTTTTTGAACATTAATTATTCCTATTAACATTAACATTCAGACCATAGCTAAAATTCTGAGAAGTACTGATATACACATTAATTAAAACAAGGCAGAGCTTTTATAAGCTCTTAATAAAGCAACATAAACATCTGGGAAATTAATGTTAAGAAAATAGTTTCTGGCAGGGTGCAGTGGTTCACGCCTGTAATCCTAGCACTTTGGGAGGCTCAGATGGGTGAATCACTTGAGCCCAGGAGTTTGAGATCAGCCTGGGCAACGTGGTGAAATCCCACCTCCACCAAAATTACAAAAAATTAGCTGGGTATGGTGGTGCACATCTGTGGTCCCAGCTACTGAGGAGGCTGAGGGAGGAGGATAGCTTGAGCCTGGGAGGTGGAGGTTGCAGTGAGCTGAGATCACGCCACTGTACTCCAGCAACAGAGTGAGACCCTGTCTCAAAAAAATTTTTCTTTTCTATATTTTCAAAGTAGGTTTACAGGTTTGACTTTCTTCAAGAATTCAACAGATTCCAATTAAGTAAACTATATCTAAAATTTTTTCTATGTCATTTAAACTAGTTTTATATTTTAGATAGAAATGTTTCAATTTAACTTATTTCTGATATTTTATTTTATTCCTCACTAATATGCTGATTCTTACTACTACTATTACAATATATAAGACAATGTACAAGTTTTCTTATAATGACTTTATCTTCTATCTTGCCTTAAAGATTTTGTTTTTAAAGAGTGTGTCCAATCTGAGCACTATGAAAACTCTGTTATGCTTGCAGTAGAAATGCTGCCAACTTCTTCCAAAGCTTGTTAATGTGTACCTTTTCCGGCTTCCTCGATGACTTGCCTCACTGCTTTCTTTAAACTATTCGCCCGCAACATGATTTCTCTTGGTTTGACGGCTTTCTGGGAAGAAGGTTTGGTAACATCATCCACGAGCTGTTCTTTGCTTTCACCCAGGGACTCTTCACTGGACGATTCCACAGCATCTTCCTCCACAATGAGAGGGCTGAGGCCAGGGAGAACAGGTGCAGCCTGGGAATCTGTGTGCAAAGCCTGCAGCAGTTGTTCGAGCTTCTCGTTCAGGACTGAACACTGAGAGGAAAATACGGCAATGAGAAAAATATTCAAAAATAATCAAGATCAGCAGACAAAGTACAAGAAATTTTTATAGAGATGTTTTGAAGTGTAATTACTAGAGAGAAAAACACTGAAATTCCCACCTTTAATTTTGTAGATGCTTTGGTTCTGGAAGCTGCTAATTTTAAAACCTCCATTTAGTAGAGATAGACAATGATAATCTAAATTATGGTTTTTGATTTAGAGGGACGATGTCTTTATTGATGTTTACTACATGGAATAATTTATAATTTTTTAAGTTGGCACAATTATTACAGAATTTCATTGATTCGTAATTTCAGAGTCACTCAGACTCCATTTCATGGGGAAAAAAATCTTTACAATGTGTACACAGCTATTTTTCTTAAAATAACACAACAGACACTTTATACAAAGTGATGCTTTATGTAAAAAATTACACAAAATTTGCTATACATTATAACAAAACACCGGATCAACTTTTTAAAAAAAGTAACTGACTTAATGCACCATTCTGAGCATCACAAACGGCACGTCTGGCTAGGCCGTAGCAAACTCCCCTTCAAAGCTTTGGTTTGCAAAGGGGTGAACAATGCCTAAGGGATTATTGGCTCAAAGAAAGTGCAGGAAGGAAAAGGCACAAGGATAAGGAGGGAAAAGAAGAGGAATACAGAAAGAAAAGCATGCACTAGGCAAGCCCTTGTTTCTTTCTGCTTCTCTTGTATTACGAGAGGTGAAGAAACATTTAGGACTGAAGCTGTTGATGCTACCCCCAATATACTTTTCATCTCCATAAAATTTCCAGTCCCTTTCCTCCTCATCTATTTGTCTTTGATGATATGCTGAGACAAGATTACAGCAGAAATAGTTTAGAAACAGAAGTATGGCCAGAAAGGGTTTCTATTTTCTGAAACTCTCCACAGAGCAGAAAGACAAGAGAAAAAAGCAGAAAACTTCAACTGCAGCAGTTGTTCGAGCTTCTCGTTCAGGACTGAACACTGAGAGGAAAATACGGCAATGAGAAAAATATTCAAAAATATATTTATTTCTATTTTCTTTTCCTTCCACTCAATTTAACTGCCATCTCCAGCACGGATTTGGGGAAGCTAATTCGTTTGCAAGTCCGAGATACTCAAGCCTTTTGTAAGAAGGTCCCTGTTGTGAACTTATGAAAACAAAGGTAGTAGTTTTTAAGGTTCAGTAAACTGTTCTTATTTTAGTTTATAAAAGAGGAAAGAAGGCCGGGCGCGGTGGCTCAAGCCTGTAATCCCAGCACTTTGGGAGGCCGAGACGGGCGGATCACGAGGTCAGGAGATCGAGACCATCCTGGCTAACACGGTGAAACCCCGTCTCTACTAAAAATACAAAAAACTAGCCAGGCGAGGTGGCAGGCGCCTGTAGTCCCAGCTACTTGGGAGGCTGAGGCAGGAGAATGGCGTAAACTCAGGAGGCAGAGCTTGCAGTGAGCTGAGATCTGGCCACTGCACTCCAGCCTGGGCGACAGAGTGAGACTCCGTCTCAAAAAAAAAAAAAGGGGAAAGAAATCTCTAAAGAAAAAGGCAATGCAAGAAGCAGCACTCTGAAAGAGACCAAGAATTGTAATGTCTAGGAAATCCAAAGAACCATGCTGGAACAGAGCTGAACTGGGCCCAAATCTGCTTGGAAACGGAAAGCCTTGCTTTCCCCACTGGAACCCAGCTGCATGGGGTCCCCTGTGGTCTGATTGCTATGCATCTGCCCTTCAGTCAATCATGGCCAGGTGTGCTGGCTCACACTTGTAATCCCAGCATTTTGGGAGGCTGAGGCAGATGGATCACCTGAGGTCAGGAGTTCGAGACCAGCCTGCCCAACATGGTGAAACCCTGTCTCTACTAGAAATACAAAAATTATTTGAGTGTGGTGGCAAGCCCCTGTAATCCAGCTACTTGGGAGGCTGAGACAGGAGAATCGCTTGAACCTGGGAGGTGAAGGTTGCAGTGGGTAGAGATAGTGTCACTGCACTCCAACCTGGGTGACAGAGCAAGACTCTGTCTCCAAAAATCACTGGGACAGGGATGTGAGTTAGGTTTTCAGCAATGCAGTTTTCCTACATATTAAAGTGTAACAATAAAATAGAATATTTTTAAAAATCCTCAGATCTGATCCAAAGTAATTTTTCTTTCAATTTAAGATGTTTTGGCAGGAAAACCACTTAATCAATTTAGCTCTGAAACACAGTTGAATGTGAGCATTGTGTGTAAACCACTCTCATGCCCTGAAGGGTCCCCCTCTTACTTTACTGGCTACGGCATCAGCTACAACGGCATTTTCCAAGGTTTTGTCATATGTCTTCTCTACTTTGGCAACGAAGTCCTTTACAGTTTCACATAGTGTCCTTTGAGGAAAAGAAGTTGTACAATTTAGTAAGCTTCATGAATTGATTTGCTTTGATTTATGAATATATTTAAAAAGAAACACAATTCAGCAAACTGTCAAATATTTGGGTCATCTGTACATAAATCTACGCTTCTATCTGCTGTGCAGTTTGTCTCACAAAAGTTCAAGACATTCTAAGTGATAAATGCATACGTGAATAAGCCTTGCTGTATATTACTCAAATTATAGTAATTAATGTTATAACAAGCTATCCTCAAATATTTAAATTAAGTATTTGTAGATCCCATTTAAAAATGATAAAGCATTATCTTGCTTTCTCCACTGGAATTCTAAAGCTTATATATTTTCATAACAGAAATTGCAGTGTCGAACAAAGATAAGATTATCACTTGTCACTGTCAAGCCACTGCTCATCATATGGATATTTTGATTGTTACAGTTACAATATATTATTACTGAAGAGAAAGAGATTGTGCATTATGCTGAAAACAAATCTGCCACTTGAGTTATATATTCTGTAAATCTATTCATTTCTTCCTTGAGATAACCAATGCGATAACTACAAGACTAATTTAGGTCTTGTTAGTGTCAGCAGTATATGGTTTACTTGTTTGTTTATTTTAATTACATTTGGCTTCTTTGCAATAGAAATAAGCTAAAAGGCAAAATAACTTGAAACACTAACAAAATCTGCCTTTGAAAGGCTTTGGATCTGGATCTGGATCTGGTGTTGGATTAAAAACAACAATCAACAGAATGGTATATGACCAGCTTTTTTAAAGCAAAGGCTTATGCTGATAGAATCAGGCTATTTTTTAAATCATACTATCGCCCTCTATCATTGATATACATTGAGAAATTTAAATTAAAAAAAGGTTCTAGCAGTTATCTTTTCTATTACACTCACAACTTTCTCTGGTAGTTGAGTGGCAAAATGGTAAATTTCCATATACTTCAGTATTATGAACTTGAGCAATTCAATAGATACAGGACACACACACACCACCACCACCCCTCCCCCAACAGACACACACACTACCAACCTTCAGATTTATCATCTTGGAAATTGTATTACTTCTAATAATTTTTGTTTTTTTTTTTTTAGCAAACATTTCTAGATTTTATTTGAACAAAAGGTAATATTTTCTAATCCTGAAACTTCCTCGTTGGCTTTTTAAACTCAAATTTCTACAGAGAATCTAGCTTATCATTTACTAGACATGCATTCAAGTACTTCGTGTCAAGTTTTCTCTTCTTTGATCAAGAACAATACTGCATGGGCTTTCTTGAAATATAACACTATCACAAAATCTCTTCTATGCATTTTACTGAAAGCATCTGTAAGATGCGCTACTTTAAGGAAGAGAAGCATTGATGCCTCTTTCTGTAACTCCAAAATAGAGGTTTTTCTTGCCATTATTATAACATCGTCTTGACATAATTTTCTCTTGGTTTGTGAAACTGCATATGTCATATCATTATCATAACACTTTTGTTGGTATTTTACTCACTCCTAGAGACAGAGCCCTTCAGCCCATCAGCCTAGAAATGAAAAGGGCAGCAGGAGTGCCCCTCCTCAGTGTGCCACGTCACTGAGCCAACAGAGACTGACAGAGACACTATGATCCTGTGACAGTAGTGGCCAAAGGAGCTGAGGAAGGGGCAAGTGAAAGTTAGGAGAGTGCTCGTCACACAAGTGTGGAGAGAATCAGAAGACATGCTTTATCTTATGGCTCATTAAGTTCCATACGCTAGAAGGAATATAGATATTTATATTCTGGGAGAATGAAGTAACCTTTTATTTTACCTAAATAGTGAATGTAGAGTTATTAAAACAGAAATAAAATATATTCTTAAAAATAGTATGATTGCAAAGTCCTACCAACCAGAAACTTGCAAATTGGAGAAAAGACAATCTTACGATGTATTTACCATAGGAAGACAAAAGATATTCTCTAACTATACAGTTTTCTACTTTATGCATAAGACTTCCAGAAAAGATGTGCAAAAGTCAAATAAGTGAAAGTAGAGCACAGATTTTCTCATAGAGATTAAAAAATTCTAAATTCCCAATTATATCTTTAATCAATGTTAGAACTCTAAAAAATAATAAAATGTTTAGAGACGGGGATCTTGCTCAGTTGCCTAGGCTGGAGTGCAATGGTGTGATCATAGGTGACTGCAGCCCTGAACTCCTGGACTCAAGTGATCCTCCCAGCTTAGCCTCCTGAGTAGCTAGGACCACAGGTACATGTCACCACGCTGAGCTAATTAAAAAAGAAATGTTTGTAGAGATGTAGTCTCTCTGTGTCGCCCTGGCTAGTCTCTAACTCCTGGCCTCAAGCAGTCCTCCTGCCTTGGACTCCCAAAGCAATGAGATTACAGAGGTGAGCCACTGCGTAAGGCCTAGACAGAACTTTTGGTATTTCCAACATTTTATTTCTTTAATTTTGTTCTCTTCCTTCAAAATTGAACATAGTCAACTGTGTGAACCAAATACTCAGTTGAGGCTAACAACAGTCCACATTTTACATACCTGATGATTTCCACCATCATCTCCACTATATTACATATGTTAGACCCATACTTCTCATCACTAGTATTAGTACCCTCATTTACCAGCTTTCCACTTAATTTCTGAAAGTATGGGCAAATGACAATAAAATATGCACATACTACACTAAGATAAATCTGGCAATGGTACCCAGACAGAATCATAGGTTGGCAGGCAGGGTCATCGTTTGGGAATCTGAAAAATTCATTTTTCATCTAATAAAAAGTTCCAATTTGAAACTGAAGATGATTTAGAAGTATCAGCGCATAACACATAAAAATCTCTAGCTATCTTTGTCTCTAGCTAGATTGTGCTCTGGGGAAATATTTTTAACAACTACCTCCCTTCACTAATTAAATGAGGCAGGTTGGCCTAAATTATCCCTAAAGTAGGTTCCAAATCTAAATTCTATGGTTCTATGACAATGGCGTCAATATTCCTGCTAGTTAGTTATCCCATAATCTGAAACTTTTGTATACAGAACAAATTGCATTTATTTTAAAACTTGGGGGGTGAGTAGAGTGCATAAGTAAAAATCCTAATTAACTCCAACTGTTAAAGCTAAAAAAGTTTTAAAACTATTGACTAAATAAAAGGAGAGACATATATTGCAGCTAAAGACAACTGATTTAATAACTGGTTTTCATTTTTATTAATAAATGGTATCTATGATTGCTAATTAGAGCTGTGATTCTCAGAAGATAACTCCTATTACCATATCAAATTGATGAAGTGCTAAGGTCAAAGAAATGTTGTTTTAGGTTAACCCATATGTTAGCTATGTTAGTGGAATACAACTTTTCCACTAGCATTTCAACTTTTTAAAAATAACTGAAAACAGTTAAGGCTACCAGGAATTATTATTGTATGAAATAAATACAAACATACACAAGAGGGTTAAAACATTTTGCCTTAATGTTGTATCACTGAATAAATAAATGACATTCACAAAATAAGGGAATTCTTTATCTAGGTGGTAATTACAAGTGTGTGTCTGTGTGTGTGTGTGTGTGAGAGAGAGAGAGACTGTGTGTACATGCAGTATTTTTTTAATCATTGAGTTGTGCTCTTGTGATTTAGTTGCTTACTGTACATGGCATGCCTCAGTAAGAATTGTTTTTTAAAGGGGAACCATTATAGATTTTTTTAAGATTTTTTTTTTTTTTAAAGACTGGGTCTCACTCTGTCATCCAGGCTAGAGTGCAATGGCGTGATCACAGCTCACTGCAGCCTCGAACTCTCATGCTCAAGCGATCCTCTCACCTCAGTCTCCTGAGTAGCTAGGACTACAGGCACATACCACCACACCCAGCTAATTTTAAAATTTTTTTGTAGAGAGGGGATTTCATTATGTTGCCCAGGTTGGTCTTGAACTCCTGGGCTCAAGTAATCCCCCCATCTTGGCCTCCCAAAGTGTTGAGATTATAGGCATGGACCACCATGCCTGGTCAAGATTTTTAAAGTCTTAAAGAGATATCACTCAAATGTAGTGTGTGAACTTTGTCTGAATTTTGAACAAATAAAGTGTGTGTGTGTGTGTGTGTGTGTGTGTGTTTTAAAGACCTTGTCAAAATTCAGACAAGGTTCACAAAAAAAACTTCTGAGAAAACTAGGGGAAATGGGATATGGCTTAAGTAATATTGATGGTATTAGAGAATTATGATTAATTTTTAGATTTTTTAAAAGATTATATGCGTTCACACACACACATACAGTCAGCCCTCTATATTCATGGGTTCCATTATCTATGGATTCAACCGACCATGGATTGAAAACATTTGAAAAACAAAACAGATGGTTGTGTCTACACTGAATATGTGCAGACATTTTTTTGTCATCATTCCCTAAACAATATAGTATAACAACTATTTACATAGCAAACACATTTGTTATTGTAAGTAACCTAGAGATGATTTAAAGTATGTGGAAGGATGTGTGTAGGTTACATGCAAATACTATGGCATTTTCTATGAGGGACTTGAGTACCTGTGAATACTGGTATCCAAGGGGGTCCTGGAGCCAATCCCCCATGGATAGAGAGGGACGACTATATGCCAAAAGTGTAGTAGAATAATTTTCAGGATGTTCTTAGAGATACTGTAGCAAAATAAAGTAGGAAGCAGATGGCAAAATGTTGATAAATACTGAAACTGAATGATGGGTATGGTGGGAAGTAATTATACCAGTTTTCTTTGAAAATGTCCATAAAAATGAAATTTAGATGCTGAGCCACTGCCCATTTGCAATGGCGCATGGAAGTCAAAGCTGCACCTCCAGTGTGGCCCCTCTGGCCAGCCAGGTACCTCCAATGAGACCTGCACCCAGGCCAGCACCAGCAGCTCAGCTGCGAGCAGTGGCCCCACCCTCTGCAGTTGAGTCTCCTACTGCTGCACCCTGGCAGCCGGGTCTGATGGTCCAGATGGCAACCACTGCAGCTGGTGTGGCTGTGGGCCCTGCTGTGGGGCACACACTGAGTCAACTATCATGGGAATGGGGGCCTTCGACAGAGGAGGTAATGCTGGGCTCACGAGGCCTGACATCACTTACCAGGAGCCTCTGGGAGACTAGCTGCTCAGCAGCAGCAGCCTTGCTTGTGTAAGACAGAACAGTTTCTGGAGCGTGCCCAGAACTAGGGCGACATCAAGCTCGGTGAGGGTTCCAATGAGGTGCTGAAACAGTGCAGACGTGCACATGTACTGGCCTAATCAAGAAGTTCAACTGAAGACACAGAAAATCGGCTTTCATGACCAAGTTAATTTAGCATAAAAATGTAGGTATAAAGTGTGAAACCAGTAGTTAAGGTGAAGCAGTTATGGTGAAGGTATAAAGTGTGAAACCAGCAGTTAAGCCTCTCCTCTGTCATTCACAGCTTCCTTACTTCAGAATTGCAGTAGAAGAGGATATTCTTACTATGCAGAATTTCATTAAGATGGCATAAAATTTGGGGCTGGGTAAATGTTTGTGTGGCCTTCTTAAACCAACTGTTGTGATTTTATTGTTTGTAAGATAACTGGAATAAAGTGATTTTCTTCCAAAAACAACAATAATAATAAATAAAATTTAACATATATTGTATTACTAGTACCAAATAATTACATATTGTCTCACCTTTTTTCTCTTCAGCCTCTTTATGGCAAATTCCCTAGAATTGTATCTGGGGTTGTAAAGGCCTGGAAGCACAGATGAGTGAGTGACAAGAGGGGACCCGGATTGGAATGGAATCTGCTTAAGGGCAGGCAAGCTGGTTAGGGAGAAACCCAAAGCTAGGGCTAAGAGCAGAGCCTTAGACAAAGAGTCAGGCCAAGGTCAAAGAAAACATCTGAAATGTAACTGGGTAAAACGTGAGGTGATGATACCATAATTTAATATAGCCCTCTGTCATTGATAAGCTCTATACTTATTATATTACTCAGCTTAATTAACCTAACAGTTCCATGAGGGAGAAATAAGAGGCCTTCTTTCCATATCCCCCACAAATAGGAAACAGGACTGAACACTAGAAAAAGAGCTGAATGGAAGCACAATGGCTGGCCCAGGAGAGGTGGGCTACACACTCTGTTTGGTGGGCAGTGCTGCTGGGGTTTTCAATGAATTGTATCGCTTGATGGTGAAATGGACAAATCTCCAGTTTGTCCCAGGCCTTAGCACTCCCTGTTGTCTTTCTCACCCCAGGCCCAGTTCATACATGTAAGTGATTGCCTGGCCCTTGCCCTGTGAATCAAATGTATTTTGATATGACATTTCAGAGGACACTGCTAGAAAAGGTGGAAAGCTGTAATGGAAGCTTTTTTAAGGTATAGCAAGTCATAAGAGAATTATTTTTTGTTTAATATAGTTAAGCAAATATTTTAACTGCCCACTTTTTACAGTTTGGATGTCAGCAAAACCTTTATATTTACTTTCATGTGTTTGATCACTACCTTTCATATATTTTACATATTTTTAATTAAGAGGAATTCTTGTTAAGAAATTTCCACAGATGCAAACAGGTAATTGTAGTAACCACCCCTTTCCCTCCCTATCATTCTTAATCTTAACACCTTTGTAGTACATTTTTGGCAGTGGAAACCTTTTCTCTAATAAAATCTTTTTTTTTTTTTTTTTTTTGTTTGAGACAAGGTCTCACTCTGTCACCTAGGCTGGAGTGCAGAAGCGCCATCTTAGTTCTAGTACAAGCTCCACCTCCCAGGCTCAAGTGATCCTCCTACCTCAGCCTCCTGAGCAGCTGGGACTACAGGTAGGCACCACCACGCCTGGCTAATTTTAGTATATATATTTTTAGTAGAGACGAGGTTTTGTCATATTGCCCAGGCTGGTCTTGAACTCCTGGGCATCAAGTAATCTGCCCACCTTGGCCTCCCAAAGTGTTGGAATTACAGGCATGAGCCACTGTACCTGGTTCAAATACAATCTTACACAGAATTCCAATATTAAAATATTAAAACTCTGTTTTGTTGACATTCATAAGTTAGAATTAAATTTTCTCCTTTAGAAGAAAAATTAAGCCATAAAGTTACAGATGACAGTTACAGTCTCCTATTCGACGCAGTTTCCAATTATTTCTGTATTTTATTTTAGTGACATGATTGTAAAGAAATTGTTTTCAATTAAGTAAAAATGGCAGAAGACGCTTTAGTCCAATATTTGCACAAAACAGAAAACTGCAGCACTGCCCGCCAAATAGGGTCTGCAGCCCACCTCTCCCGGGCCAACTAGTGTGCTTCGTTTGCCGTAAGCCATTCAACTCTTTTCCTGTTGTGCAGTGTTGTTTCCTATTTCTGGGGGATATGTTGTCAAAAGCAATTGTTACTACTTTGTACTTTTTTCACAAGCAGATTTGTTTATAATGATTCATCTTGTCTTTCCTCAACTTCACTGCGAATTAAGTACATAATATACCAAAACGTGTGTATTTTTTCTTTACCACCACCATTTCCCATTCCTTTTCTTTCCTTCTTCGCCTTTTCTCCTCTCTTCCTGTGTAACAGTAACCCGTGCTTGCTAAGCCAGAATTTGAATGCATTCTTTTGCTTGAAAATTTCAGCTGGTGTCACCCCTTCTTCTAGTCGACTTTCCAGTCTCTTGACATCAGCATAGGATGCTTCAAAACTAAATTCTAAATTCCAGCCAGGCAACATTTGGGATAATAACATCAAGTAGCTTTGGCTCCATGCACAAAATCAACTTCACTAAAATCTGATAACTTTGAATTAAAATCTAATTATTCAATTTAAACATGCTGAGAAACATCATTTTGAAAAATCTTATCATTTTCCTTTTTCTAATGTGATCCTAAATAGTAATGTTTATGGAAATAATGAATTATAATGAAATGTGTTTTCCATATTATAAGTAATCATAAACATTTCCTTAAATATTTAGGTTAATTAAACTCTAAATGCTTCTTACACCTTTTTGATAAAAATATTTCAAATTAAACATTAAAAAAACCCTCTAAGTATACGCCACTGCAAATAAGATGCTAACATGATTTTTAAAAATCAATCCAAATTTAGTATATCTAATTTTATAAGCTACTTCCAAGATATTTTTTTTTGAGAAGAAAACTCACAAAGAAATGACCTAAATGGTAGGAGCCAGCTATTATTTCATTTTCACCATATTTAAAGACTTAAAACCCACAACTCACTTGGCAGATGATATGACCACTGCATGTTCATCAGAATTCAGGATTTTCGTAAGATGCGTTGCAACTGAGTCTTCATAAATCGTCATCTGAAAAAAAGAAAAAAGAAAACTCTACACTGTATTATTGTTGCTGGCATTTACACAACTCACTTATTGCTGCTCCAGAAATGGAGCCCTTCATGACATGTGTTAGGCAGGGCAATGGCTATAATGAAATATATGAAAGAGTCATTATGCAAAATAGATAAATATTTCCTTTTGGCAAAAGGCTTTCAGTTTCTAGAATTCTTTAATTTATATTCTTACAGAAATCCATAAAAACCCCTTTACAAAAATTTTTAATGTAAAAATATCTCAATATAAAAATAATTCCTACAAAGTAGTACAATAAAAGTCAAAAAAAATCTAGTAAAAATTGGGCAAAAGACTAGACATTTAAATATAAAAATATCCAAATGGCCCATAAACAGATGAAAACATATGCAATCTCAGCTATCAGGCAAATGGAAACTAAAACCACAACACAGTATCACCATACAGCTCCAAAATGGCTAAAATGAAAACAACTAGAAAATGGCAAGTGCTAGCAAGGCTATGGAGCTACAGAATTCTCATACGCTGCTGATGGGAATGCAAACTGATACACTCTCACAAACGATTTGGCAGGGTCTCTTAAAGCTGAACATATGCAATGATATCACAGGACTCAGAAATTCAACTTCTACATCTACACCCAAAAGAAATGTAGAAGTATGTTTACCAAAGGACATGTACTAGGATGTTCACAGCAGCATTCATCTAATAGCAGAATGGAGTGAAAGAATCCAGAAACAAATGAAAGCACACAAAATGATTATATTTTATAAAGTACAAAACAGATACCAATCTATGCTATTAGAAGTTAGCATAGTGATTACTGGGGTAGGAGGCGGGGGTCTTGACTGAAAGGGGGCATGAGGGGGCTTATGGGGAACTTGAACACTGTCGGGTGGCCTGGCAAAGATTTGTTTAGTTTGTAAAAATTTACCAAGCTATACATTTATGACCTGTGCACCTTTCTGTATGTATGATTCAATAAAAAAAGTTTTTAAAAATGCTGAATGCACTTTCATATAATCATGTAAATAAATATTTCTTTTAAACAATAGTCAAAATGCCAAAAGCATCCATAATCACTTCTCTATTTGACTCAAACTTTAACATTCTGTCGAAAGAACACATACATTTTCCTAATATGTAAAAATGTATACAATATTTAAACAGCCTCATATTCAGAGCCTTACATCAAATGTATGCCTCAAATAATATTCCATTTCACACAGCTCAACATTTTCTAGTATAAATGATCTGCTCTAGGCAAGCTGGCCACCTATGCTCTTCTGCCTGACTCAGGTATCTTTTCATTACTTGTACCAATCAGCCTCAGTTCAGAATCTTCAATTAAGTCTGAATAAGCCTTCCCCACAAAGCCTTCCTGACTAGCCTCTTCCCAAAAGAACCACATTCCTAATTTACCTTCATTCCACCAGTGGATATGTTACTCTTTCAAAAGTATGTTACTCTTTTAAATTTCTACCTTCCCTCCTTCAAAGGCAGACCACTACAGGAAAGCAATTTTACATTAAAGAAAGGAAGGCAGGCCAGGAGCTCCAAAGTTACACATGATGTTGTATTGACCCACAGATCCACTTCATTGATCTCTTAGTTTAAACACTAAAAATTATATCTTTACAGCTAGGATCAGAAAAATGAAAATATATCATCTAAAAATAAACTTTAAAATTTGAAAAAATAAAATGTTCTCCAGAGGTTGGTTTTATTTTTCTTCCCTGCGGGGTAGAAAATATTTTACAGGATCATTAATGCTATTAACACATTTATTAATGCCAGTTGTTTAATGGATTAATTAGTAACATTTGATTAATGCCATTTGAAACTTATGTTAAAAAAATCCAACTTTTTGTCCATTAAAAATATTTGAAGATCAAAAAATACAACTTCTCTCAGAGGAAAATAAAATAGCCTCTATGTCCAAAGATAAAATTACAGATGTAACTTATTAACCTATTATGCAGTCACTTAGCAGCGTCAGAAAGGTAAGTAATAAGAGTTAACATTTTGTATGTGTAGCAGGCACTGTAATTAAGCACTCTGTATACATTTACCCCTTTGTCCTGTTTTATAGCCAAAGAACCCGAGGCTTGTTGAGTAATGTGCCTAAGACCCACAGCTAATGACATATAGAAAAGCTAAGAAGAAAGATTTAGTCTACTTTTATCTCAGTTTTCAAGGTAAAAAAGTCACACACAGTAAAAGGCATTCCTGGTGCCAGCCTAGTTCAGGGTCTAGCCAGGGCCATTCAGAACACTCATTTAATCTGTTATCTTAAAGTATGCTATCCCTTTGTTACAAAAATAAGTTTATTTTTAAAAAGCAAAGTTTCATTTAAAACCCTTTTGTACAAAAAAAGAGATTTCCTTCATATCTTTAGAATTGTACCTCATATTTAGTGATTATATATAAATGATAAAAGTAAATTATTTACTGTTATTTTATATGCTAGAAAACACATTTCTGAAGTAAATGGAAGAAAAAAATTCTCCTTTTCATCTTTTTTGGAAAGAAAATTAATAACATTTACAAAAATACTGTTATGTTAAAGGACTGGTTTCTATAAAAATGCGTTATGTTTATGGAATCACATAACTAAAAATGCTGCTGAAAATCAAGTGGTAAATATATTAATCTTTAATAGTGATTATCTCTGGGTGGTAGGACTACAGGTGATTTTATTTTCTTTTTCATATAATTTGGTATTTCCCGAATTTTTTTAGAAGCAGTTTGGCTATCAGCAGTTTTTATGTCAGAAAATGTTTTAAAAATACAACTAGCTTCTCTAAGAAACAGCCCCATGTTTGTAGTTATCATTCCTTGCCTTAGTTTTGACAAGATCATAATTTTCTTAATGACAAAACAAAGATTTCAACTGTGAAATAAACAGATGAATTTTCCTGGAGGGAAAAATAAGCTAGCATAGATCAAATGGTCTTAATGTGTCAGAGAATAATCCTCTGAAGGTCAGGTTCTGTTTTAAATCTACACTGCTTTGAGGTTTAATCAGAACATTGAATCTTTAAAAACATTAGTCATTTATGGTCTGTAGTAGAGATGGAATTAAGTGGTCTTTCTTCCTTTATCAACAGGCTTAACCCAGAGACCTGTCTTGCTGTCCCTTCAAAAGAGTAGGGGCCGGCCACAGTGTCTCATGCCTGTAATCCCAGCACTTCGGGAGGCTAAGGCAGGAGGATCTCTTGAGACCAGGAATTCAAGGCTGCAGTGAGCTGTGTTTGGATCATTGCATTCCAGACTGCCTGGGCCACAGAGCAAGACCCTGTCTCAAAAAGAAAAGAAAAAGAAAAGAGTACGCAAAGCAAGCAGTAAGAGAGAAACTGTATAATATTCTGGCCATGAGTATTGGTGTGTCTGGAGACTGTTTAAAGAAGCTAACATCTGATAACCAAACAATCTAATGGCCAAAGTAGAAGATGAATAAACACTAACAGGAAACATCAGCTGGCCTTCCTGGAGCTCTCCCGACACAAAGGAAACGGGCAGGTAGAACATGCAGGGAGGATTATCTGGACAGGAGAAGAGATACTGCTTTACACATCTGTTATATCATTTAACTCCCAAGAGTTTGTAGCCTCACTTTACACAAGAAGAGGCCCAGGAATGGGAGTGACTGGGCACTCCCAGTGTGGTTGGTCATGGAAGGACTCTAACCTAGACTCAGGATTCTTCTTTCTGGGGGACAGGACGAGAGGTAGTCAATGAGACCATACACCCAAAATAAAATTAAGTTAACATGCTACCATATATTAGGAGTACATTTTCACATTTTGTTGTCCAAGATACCCACCCCCATTTCAAATGATAGGTAAAGGGTTAAGTCTTACATAAAATTCTTCAGATGCTTCTGGAGGTCCTGGAAGTAGGGAAGCTTTTGGTGGCAATTTGAGTTCATATGTCATTATACTCCACCTAAAGGGAGAAAAACTCTGGTCTAAGATTTCCTTAAAATTGGATAAACTAACTGTTACCATCTCATACATACACACACACACACACACACACATTCATGAACTATGGTTTATTTTATCTTAAAACAACCAAAAATGGGAAAAGAGATCACATTTCAGTAATCTGATAAAATGTTGAATTCATAATTTATGATGTCCACATCTTACCATTTCTCCAATTAGTGGCTTCTAAATGTTTTAAGACCCATAGCCCACAATAAGAAATCCACACTTGTTACAACGCCCCCACTTCTTCACAGGTACAATGCATTCTGACTTTTCCATTCTTTTCTATTCTATTTTAAAAATAATGCTCATTGCAGTTTACTAATTAGGTTATAAACTACTAATGAGTCATAACCCCAAAGTTGTAAAACAATGTCTTAAATAAATACATACTACCTATAAACTGTTACTCAACTGTTACTCAACTTGCCAAATCAGCTTATACATACATAAAATGAAAATTACCGAAATACCCCTTCTTAAATTAAGAAAGAATGAATGTAACCATGGGAGTATAGGGAGTATAATCAGCACTTGGGAGTCTGAGGGGAGATAGGGTCAGGAGATAGAGACCATCCTGCTAACATTAAACCGTTCTACTGAAAATACAGTATTATTAATAAATATTAATAATACTTAACTGAAGTAAATTTATTTCAATTAGCTATAAGTATTAATTTCAAAGCAAACACAAAATAATTTGGTGTTAGAGAAAAGCAATCAACTCAAGTCCAATTTTCTATTTAAAATAATAATTTCAAAATGTGGGAACAACAGTTAGGCCAGGACATTATTGTAGACTAACAAAATATGAAACAAAGGCCAGGTGTGGTGGCTCATCCCTGTAATCCCAGCACTTTGGGAGGCTAAAGTGAATGAATAGCTGGAGCTCAGGAGTTCCAGACCAGCTTGGGCAACATGGTGAAACCGCGTCTCTACAAAAAAAATGCTGCGCACCTGTAGTCCCAGCTACTTGGGAGGCTGAGGAGGTAGGATCACTTGAGCCTGGGAGGTGGAGGTTGCAGTGAGCTGAGATCACGCCACTGCACTCCAGCCTGGGTGATAGAGCCAGACATTGTCTCAAAAAAAAAAAAAAAAAAAAAGAAAGAAAGAAAAAAGGCCAGGTGCGGTGGCTCATACCTGTAATCCCAGCACTTTGGGAGTCCAAGGCAGGCAGATCACCTGAGGTCAGGAGTTCAAGACCATCCTGGCCAACATGGTGAAACCCCATCTCTACTAAAAATACAAAAAATTAGCCGTGTGTGGTGGCAGGTGCCTGTAATTCCAGCTACTCGGGAGGCTGAGGCAGGAGAACCACCTGAACCCTTGAGGCAGAGGTTTCAGTGAGCCAAGATCATGCCACTGCACTCCAGCCTGAGTGTCAAGAGCAAAACTCCATCTCAAAATAAAAGAAAAAAAAAAGATGTGAAATAAAGATTTTAACACAGAAACAAAGCATAATAAAAGCAGTACCATAACACATGAATTTTAAGAAAGCATAACACAGCTGAAGCTATTGATAGAACCCAGAGGAAAATTCCAAGATCAATATTTAAACAGAGCCTAGTGTATCATTCAGCCTATGAGAATAAATGTTTGCATAAAAATTCAAATTCCCAGAAAGCCCCCAATAGACATACATTATATTTTGGGATATGTAAACTAGTTACTTTTGGCTACTATTCAACTCTTGACATGAAAATACTTTAAAAGAAATTTATTTTGGGAGGCCAAGGCAGGCAGATCACGAGGTCAAGAGATCAAGAACATCCTGGCCAACATGGTGAAACCCTGTCCCTACTGAAAATACAAAACTCAGCTGGGCATGGCGGCACACACCTGTAGTCCCAGCTACTCGGGAGGCTGAGGCAGGAGAATCGCTTGAACCCAGGAGGCGGAGGTCACAGCGAGCGTGCCACTGCACTCCAGCCTGGCGACAGAGCGAAACTCTGTCTCAACAACAACAACAACAACAACAACTAAGAGGCTGGGCACGGTGGCTCACGCCTATAATCCCAGCACTTTGGGAGTCTGAGTCGGGCAGATCACGAGGTCAGGAGATAGAGACCATCCTGGCTAACATGGTGAAACCCCGTCTCTACTGAAAATACAGAAAATTAGCCAGGTATGGTGGCGGGCGCCTGTAGTCCTCAGGAGGCTGAGGCAGGAGAAAGGCGTGAACCCGGGAGGCGGAGCTTTCAGTGAGCAGAGATCGCACTACTGCACTCCAGCCTGGGCTACAGAGCGAGACTCTGTCTCAAAAATAAAAAAATATAAAAAATAAAAAGAAAAGAAATTTATATTTGAAAACCAAAAGTCATTCATTTATCCATGAGGCAGATGCAGAAACAAAGCATAATAAACTACATTGAGCATCTCAAAGTCACAGGAAACACAAGGGTGAATAGGCTCCCCCAAAGAAGCTTACATTCTAGCGCAGAAAACACGTATGATGCAAGCAAACAAAACAATTAAACTTTGTAAATATCCAAACAGGGAAAACCACGAGTAGAAACACAAAAGTCAAGTCCCTTATAGCTGGAAATACTTTACTGGTCAAAGCCAGTTAAATAAATGGTAAATAAATCCATCCAAATGTCTGAGTTCCTTGCACCTTCCACGCTATACCTCCCCATTCAATAGGAAATGGTTGGAGCTAAAGAAGAAGGAGAAAGTGGCAGCAAGAGATAAAAAAGTGAGGAAGAGATGCATATGAGTACCAGCTAAGCAGAGGCAGAGGCCAGAAAGAAAGGAACCATCTGGCCTACATACATAAAGGGGAGAGAGTGCAGAGTTGAGAAAGGACCCTGGAAACTAGACAGAACAGGGACTGCGGTTTACTGTGCCAGTTCTATTACTTATTAGCTATTTAACTTAGATAATGTAAAAACCTCCTAAACCTTTTCACCAGTAAAATGGAGATAGCAATATTAGCTATCTCTAGGAGAAGGGCGATAATTAAATGAGATGCTACCCGAATTAAAACAACTAGAAAGTGCTAGGCAGACAAAACATTAGTTTTTTTTATTCCCACTGTATCCAGAAGACTAAATTTTCATCTTTGTAAAATAATGCTTTTCTGACCCAACCCACAGTATTGTTTTGAGGATCAAATAAATATATTTGAAAAACTCATGTAATTTAGAATATTAAACAATTACTTTTTAACTTTTTTTTTTTTTTTTTGAGACAGAGGCTCGCTCTGTTGGCCAGGCTTCAGTGTATTGGCACGATCTCGGCTCACTGCAACCTCCGCCTCCTGGGATCAAGCGATTCTCCTGCCTCAGCCTCCCAAGTAGCTGGGATTACAGGGGCCCACCACCATGCCCAGCTAATTTTTGTATTTTTAGTAGAGATGTGGTTTCACCATGTTGGCCAGGCTGGTCTCGAACTCCTGACCTCAGGTAATCCTCCCACCTTGGCCTCCCAAAGTGCTGGGATTATGGGTGTGAGCCACTGCATCCGACCCACTTGTTCTTTACAAACAGTAAATTAATAAAGGAAACACAGGAATAAAATATTCCTATGTTTCTAATAAAGGTCTTAAGTTTCTGAATCCACTTTGATTTGTGTGTGTGTGTATTTTCTTTTGTTTTATTTTCATTTTGCGTACCAGTAGGTATTCAAGGAATTTCACCATGGAGGTGCTGTTTCTTGGCTAACCACCTGGAGAGGTGACTTTTTATTTTTATTTTTTTAAAACTTTTTTGAGACAGGGTCTCATTCTGTCACCCAGATTGTAGGGTAGTGGTGCAATTGTGGCTCACTGCAACCTCCAGCTCCTGGGCTCAAGTGATCCTCCCACGTAGGCCTTCCAAAGTGTTGGGATTACAGGCGTGAGCCACCTCCCCTAACTGAGAAGTGAATTTCCATAGCACACAAGGGCAAAGCACATACCCAGTGTAGATGAAATGCCTAAGGGCAGGGGAAGTGGTCTTTACATTTGCAACAAAGAAAGCATTTAAATAACCCCTTTTGTTTGGTAATCACAGAATTGGACGGTTGCCTGGGAAGTCACCTCCAGGCTCATTTACAAATAATGGTGATTTTATTTATTTATTTCCAATCTTTTTTCCCCAGAGTTTGGTATAGTTGACAAAAAATTGTATATATTTAAGGTGTACAATTTGATGCCTGGATATATATACACCACAATCAAGGTAACTGGCATATCCATAGGTACCATTTCTCTTTTTCATTCTTTTTCTTCTTTTAACCTCCAGATTGTTTTAAAGGCTGGAGGCTGAATCCAGAAGCACATAAAATTAAAAACTTTTATGCACCCAAGCTACTGTAGTATCTCTCTCATGTAATTTCGGATAAACAGAGACGAATGCTCTACTTCCCAGCTCTCTTTTTAAATATTCTGTCAACAAAAGAATCAACTATTACAGTATTACCTTATGACAGGCAAGGTTACAATTAATGAGGTTATAGCCCATCTTAGAGTAATTATATTTCAGATTGGTGGCTCCCTGATGAAATTGTGTTATTTTCGGGAAGAGTTCCACAGATGACTAATTCTATCAAAGTTGTTTTGATTTATGCTACCTCAAGTTGATCATATTTTGACATCTGTCTTCTACTGACATTGGGGGATGAGGAGTGACTGGTTACTGAGTCCTGTTGTTTCTTATACCCAAATTCTAAACACCTCCTCCATAACACTCAGGGTATACATTGTAGTTTCTTTTTCATTACATGGACATTCAGAGAGAAAGCAATTAAGAGATGTAATCAAGAACAGCATAAACACAATGATACTCCCTTCATTTGAAGCTATCTTCCTAACACTTCCCTGTCCCTGGGAAAGGACTGCTTATATTTTAATATACGTAGTTCTTATTGGATCAATGCATTCTTAATATATATGTTTAAGAGGAGATATTCTAACAAATCTAACGTTTATATGTCCTCTTCAGCTTTTTGGAAACCACACAATGACAGGAGGCTACCTAATATACTCATCAAAAGGTCCCCTACAAAATGAACTATTTTAGTTTTCTGACTTGAACTGTAATTAAAAGTAAATAGTAGTAACATACCCTTCTATATTTAAAATAATGAGTTCCTCAGACTAGTGTTATTAAAATTCATTCATTTACTATAAAACATCTTTATTGAGTATCTTCTCTGCGATAGGCCCTGTTCTCCATCTGAGGTATTAACCAGTGGACAAGATCAGAAAGGCTCTGCCTTCGTGGAGCTTCTAGTCAGTACAATTTATTAATGAATATTTATTAATAAATCATCGAAAAATGATTTCAGTATGCCATTTTCCATCTAGTTGTAGAAAAGAATTCACTTTTACCTGTCCAACATTTTGGTACTGGCTCGTTCCAGTTTCTCTAGGATCTGAGGAAGCTGGGTGTCGTCGTCATATGAACCTCCCCAGCCAAGAACTCGAGCAAGGTCATTTCCTGTACCCAAAGGCAACACTCCCAGCTGACACTGAAAGAGAGTACAACAGGGTGACTTTCAGACAAGTTGAGAAATAGGGACTACTGCATTTCTGCACCTCTCGTAAGTATGTTAGTATGCGTTCATGTTAACTAGCAAGTAAAAGAATTAGCACTCACCTGTTTATTCAAGTTGAGCTTATCGATTTCTGACAAAACCCAACCTACACTTCCATCGCCTCCACAAACAAGAATCCGGAAATTGTCAAACTTCTGAAATAATCTTAAACTGAAAGCAAAAAGGATTTCATTTTAGTATAAAGTAATAAAAATCACTTTCCTCAATTCTTTGTTATTCTCTATCGGTATTCATATTCAGATTAAATATAAGAACTCCTACTTACATGTTAATTATACCATAAACATTCATTGAAGTGTAATTTTAACTCAAGAAAACTTCTGAATCATAAGGAGGAAAGGGAATGATAAGTAGAAATGAAGATAAAATTAGGAGGAGTGGGGGTGAGAAATGAGAAAACAAAAAAGAAGCAGAGACCAGGAAAGATAAAGTAATACAAGATGGTGAAAGTAGTGGTTCCTCTCTTTCTATTACAAGAATAAATTCTTTCCTTAAGAATTACAAACCATGGGTAAGGAATCTACGGTGCTGAAACTAATGAGTGACGCTTCGGCAGTTCCTAAAGACACCAATCACTGTATTGCTCTCAGGACTCCCAACTGGCTTTTTCTCCTCTTCTCCTATTCTCAACTCCATCCTTCTGTTTTACCTCATCTCAACTTTTGACACATCCCATCTCCTAAATGTACCCTTGTACACTTACTTCACGTATTGTGGAAAATCTGATAAAATATTAGAGGGACAACCTCAGGAAGTTTCACCAAGAGAGGTCCTTGGAGCCTTCGAGGACAAATGGGAAAAATAAATCAAGACTATAAGATAATGGAACTATAAAGGATTATAAAATGGATGTGTTAGAAAGGGGGACAAAACTACCCTAGCATGGCAGAGACAAAGAAGGTGAGAAGAGGAAACTCCAGCACCTCAACAGAGGAAAGGAAGGGCGGTACACGTAGATAAGGAGGAAGCTGGGTATAAATGAACAAGACCGAAATCCATGTGACCAGAAGGGCCTGAGACTTAGCGAGATAAAGGCAATGGAAGCGGGAAGGAAAACTCAGGGGGCAAAAGTGAACAGAGGCACCAAGAGAGAAGGAAGGAGAGAAACAGAGAAGACAGACGAAAGTGTCACATTACAAAACACAAAATGCCTTTTCAGGCACTGGTATCGAAAATCCCATTTCTACTTCTGTGTTCATGCTTTGAGGTAACGGTGGAACCCAAGAGAAAAGCTGAGTTGCCGTAAGTAAATCACATAGAGGTTTGAAGGCCTCTGGTTCAGAAGACGTAATATCGCCTCTTAAGAAAAATCATATGCATACCCTAAAAATGTACTGAAAGTGCCAAAAGGTATATTTTCCCTCAGTGAAAATACTACTTAGTTCATTTTATCTTACAGATTGTAAGTTATATGACATCCAGAAAGCTGAAAGGAATCATCAACAAAAGTATTTCTTTGTCATTTACATGAACTGAGTCTGAGATCCTTGAAGAACTGCCCTTGACAGCCATGAGAGTCCCTGTACTTTGGTTTAAAAATTGATTATTTATATTACATATAAATCAATATCAGCCTTCCATGCAAATCACTTTCTAATATTACTTTATATTTCTATATTTATGTAAGTTGATCTTTCTTGGAGCTAAATAAACTGTTAGTATTGTTTGATGTAGAATATATTGTAAAACATTTTCTAAACAAATTTTGGAATTGAGAAATTTCAATAGAGTTTTGGAATTTATACAAGACAGTTGTCTAACTATCCAAAAGGTTGTGTTAAAACTTATAATTAGAGCTTTAAAAACGAGGGAGGGATCTAGAGGAATCTATAATTTTCATGAGCTGAAACACCAGACACATTTAACACCTAGTCCTACATTGTATTCAAATAAGATTTATCAATAAGCAGTTACCCTAAATGAGGACCTCCATTCATTAAATCAAACACCTGAGCCGGATTTAGCAACTGTTTAAAGCGACGAAGGAACTTTACTCCCTGATTATCTCCACTCTTAGAATTGACAAAAACCAATAGAGGACTAACACAGAACGAAAATGTTGCTCTACAGAAACCTGTGAAAAAAACACAATACAAGATCAATACATACGGCTTTCTCTTTTAAATTATTAGCAAACTTTCAGATAAAAGAAAATAAATGTATAAAAACTGGAGCATTAAGTTATAATTTAGCTCTCCAAATAGAGATAGGTTAACTATTTACATACAAACCTATATATTTGTATGTAATTCTTATGTTTATATTCAATATTTCAAAGTATTTTAACTGCTCCTTTCTGAAGTCTGAGAGAATATTTTAAAATTTATAGTAAACAAAATCAGGGCCTAGGTTGGGGGAGAGGGCTGTTAATACCATAGGTTTAAAAAAAGTCACATATTTTGCGGTTTATAAACTTACATCTTCAGGTTTATAAACTTATATCTAAGATATCTATTGGCATAAATTAAATGAAAAGTTTGAAAAGCAAAAAGCATGATATCAATGAAAGACATTAATAATAGCACAGTCCTCCCTACGTATTCTTGGGGAATTGGCTCAGGAGTCCCACGAATATCAAAATCCACAGTTGCTCAAGTCTGTTATATAAAACAGCATAGTATTATACATGGTTTTACCATATTACTTTGTAATATGGTTTGCTTAGAAGGAAGTAATTAGTATGTAATCCCAAAACCAGTGTCGTAGAGGGGTTCCTCAGCACTTTACAGTTAAGTTTATAGAAAAGTGCATTTATAGGAATATAAATTCCTACAATGAAATTACAGAAAAACAGATTTTAATAACAGCCATGCTAACAGGCAGTTTCAATTATAGAGGAAAAAAACACTTATAAAAATTAACCTTTTCAGAATGTATTACAGTACAGAGTAATGATCTTATTTTATTTACTAAAACATAAAATCTAAAAGTCTTATAAACAGTAATTTCACCAATGTGTTAATAGGTATTCTACAACTTTCACTTAAATATATTCTTTAAAAAATGGAATGTACTTTCAGCAATTGAAATGGAATTATTTTAGAAAACCTGATTACAATAGTCAATGACAGGTATAGTTATTCTAGGAAAAGAAATATATATATCAATATTAAATATACCAGAAATATACATACTTACACTACTGCTACATACCATCGGAATCAGTGCTGTTTAGCGCAATTGGAGGTATGATAGATACTTTACATTGACCAAGTGGACATATTGGATGGTATAAATCTTTGCAGGCAGTGTGTACCTAATAACAAACAAATATACCTTCAAGAATCATAAAAATAATGTTTTGCCATTACAAATCACATCTAAGGAACTGATAATCTAGAATCAACTGTACCACAAAATATTCAGTAATTCATAAACTACTTTAAATGGTATAATATTTATACTTAAGGAAATGACTAAACATTTTAGAAATGGATATTTGATTTTGGTCCATGCAACCAATTCTTGTAATTATCTCAGAGAAGAATACATAGTTAATGAATAATTGGTGAAGGCAAGAAGAGAGGAAGAGAAGAGACCAAGTGCAGAGGAAGGGAGGCAGAGAAGAGAAAAAGAAGAGGAAAAGGAAGAAGAAGGAGGGAAACTAACCAGGGTGTTAATATCATTGCCCATAAAATAAATTGATGACAGAACATTTATTTTGTTTTAATAAAAATTCTTATAAAATTTAACAACAATAAAACCTGTAACGTGCCTGCTTTTTCTGCAGTAATCCTATAACTTTCTATTCACATTTCCCTATCATTAAAGTTACAAGTACACCCATGCTTATTTTCTCAGCTGGACTGCTGCTCTGTAAGGTAAAGGAAAGTGATGCCTATCACAGGCACCTAGTAAATGTGCTTTCAGTAGAAATGAGTTTCATGGTCATGCAAGGATATGTTTTGTTCTCTATTGAGAACAAAAGCAAGGATAACTTATTAAGTACGACCCAGGCAACTTAGGATACTTTGTGTACTTGTCTGGAGAGCCTTCTAAATGTTTTAACTAGGAAAAGCAGACACTTTTCATCAAGTTCTTATTTAATATGACTTTATTTTATTAGCCCTTTTAGAAAACTGGCATAATTAAACCTGTATTTATCAAACTTTTGGGAGAATAACTAAAATTTAATAGTAATTCTAATTCTGGTGATGACCTGTTTTTAGACAGTTTCCTATTATGCTTTACAATAATTAACAATCCAAATGCATTTTAGAAAAATTAGCACACACAGATAGCTTTAAAAGTAATTTTAAAATGTATGAGAACCATGGGGCAAAACAGAAAGGTATTTATAATAATGCTAAATAAGAAAAGCACATGATCAATTTATGTCTTCACAATTTTTACAGAAAAGGTAAAACTATGTCCACAGACCTGGATGACAGTAGGAAAAATAATAAGTTGATTCATTCGGCTTGTAGGGCTATAGGCTTTTTGATTTTGTTTTCTTTTTTTACTACACAGACTATGCTTTAGGCACTAGATATCCTGCTATTAGAAACTCATGTTTTTGTTTGTTTGTTTGTTTGACATGGAGTTTCACTCTTGTTGCCCAAGCTGGAGTGCAATGGTGCGATCTCAGCTCACTGCAACCTCCGCCTCCCGGGTTCAAGCGATTCTCCTGCCTCAGCCTCCCGAGTAGCTGGGATTACAGGCACCTGCCACCACTTCCAGCTAATTTTTGTATTTTTAGTAAAAACGGGGTTTCACCATGTTAGCCAGGCTGGTCTTGAACTCCGGACCTCAGGTGATCCACCCGCCTCGGCCTCCCAAAGTGCTGGAATTACAGGTGGTCATGTTTTTTATTTTTTATTATTTTGAGATGATGTTTCGCTCTTGTTGCCTAGGCTGGAGTGGAACGGTGCAATCTCGGCTAACTGCAACCTCCAACTCCCAGGTTCAGGCAATTCTGCTGTCTCAGCATCCCAAGTAGCTGGGATTATAGGTATGCACCACTGCATCCAACTAATTTTTTTGTATTTTTAGTAGAGACGGAGTTCCACCATGTTGGTCAAGCTGGTCTCGAACTCCTGACTTCAGGAGTCAGCCTGCCTCAGCCTCCCAATGTGCTGGGATTACAGGCATGAGCCACTGTGTCAGGCCAGAAACTCATGTTTTAAAGGCAAAATAATATGTAAACAGGCAAATGGTTGTGTATAGGAAGTGCAAGACTAGGGGAGGTGTTATAAGGTGATGGTAGCTCAGAAACCAGCACGTCAAATTTACACAGGGTGGGGCAGGAATGATGTCACAAGGTGAAATTTGAGTTTGCCAGGAAAAAAGAGAGAAAAGGCATCCTACTTTCTACCATCTGTAATATCACTGCTGTTCTAGTTAAGAAATGTTTAAACGTTAGGGGTGAATAGAATGAGCAAGTAATAAACCTAATTAACTCCTGCTGTTACAGTTAACAGAGTTAAAAAAAAAAAAAGTTAACAGAGTTTGACTTTTTTTTAAAGTAAAGATATACATATTGCAGGTAAAGAAAATTTACATAAAATCTTTCTAAAATAATTCATCACACATGAAGTGTTTTCTTTCTTTTCTTTTCTTTTCTTTTTTTTGAAAGACAGAGTCTCGCTCTGTCACCCAGGCTGGAGTGCAGTGGCACGATCTCAGCTCACTGCAACCTCTGCCTGCCGGATTCAAGCAATTTTCCTGCCTCAGCCTCCCGAGTAGCTGGGATTACAGGCGCGTGCCACCACGCCCAGCTAATTTTTTGTATTTTTAGTAGAGACAGGGTTTCAATGTGTTAGTCAGGATGGTCTCAATCTTCTGACCTCATGATCCGCCCACCACGGCCTCCCAAAGTGCTGGGATTACAGGCGTGAGCCACCGCACCTGGCCAATACATTGGAAGTGAACAGTTGAAGCTCTAGAAGTAGAGAAATCAACTTTACTAAATGTACAGGCCAATAAAAATAGCAGGAAAATTTGCTGTCAGTGGTTGTCCTCTCAAAAACAAATCTGAGGTGGGATGATGATTTTAGATCTTGTTTATGGGAAGAATGAATTCCTTTAAAATAAAAAAATGGCATAAGAAGGTTTCAGGGGCTAGGCTTGCACTAAGATTCTAAAGACAGACACCTGTTACAGTCTATATATTAGATTAAATGAGATAAGAGAAAAAGTATTAATAACATATCTAAGGCTAGTAAAAAAGGCAATCAGTGAAGAATAACAAAAGCATGAGGACAAAGAAAAGAAACACAGATTCACCTATCAGGTCTAACTAAAAAGTTGCAGGACTTATTTTCCTTTGGGGCCTATCAGACAATCTCATTGATTAGGAAAGCAATACATCACACATCTCTTACATTTGCTGATCTACACTATACATACCAAAAACAATAGTTTTTCCATATGTTAAAATTTGAGGCTGGCTTCCAAATTTCAGCCAGCAATGTTAAAAGACAAGACTCAAAACCACCAAATAAGTCAGCCCCAGTGCAAGGCAATCACTAGCATCGTAGAACAGCATCGCCCAGTACTAAGATGAACACTCACACCCACGACCTCCTCATCCTGCAGTTTTTCAGTCCCATGCCACTGTCTGCGTGACCTCTTTCCTACTCTGACTGTCCTCACACAGTCCAGAGGCCCTGTCCTCACTGTATCTGGCATAAATAATCAGCTGTTGGCTTCATGTTCAGCTGCATATGTTGTTCACCTCTGTCAGAGTGCACTGATAGCGTTCTAGCAAATTTACATTTTGCATGTCAACCAAAATTTGGTGACACACCAGAGAAGTGCTTTCAGGTAGTAAAATAGGCCCGAATATAGCAAACCACTTCGTTAATAAAGCAAAATGAAAAAACAATAGAACTATGAATAGGAGATCTTGAGGCACAGGATATGGAAGAACAAGAGTAAGTTTTACAGGGCATTTGAAACAACAACAAGACTAGGAGGACTATACTGTAAGGAAAGAAGAATGTCACCATGGGGTGCGTATGCTACCAGGCTCAGCTCTATCATAAATTCTTGGCCTTGCCTCTAAGCCGGGCGGATGACAAAATTAGGGAAAGAAGCTAATGAACAAGGATGAACTGATTCCAAAACCCTCACCATTGTCTTACACCACAGGCATTTCCAATCCTGTAGACGGAGAACACTGCCACACGTTTTGTCACAGACAGCACACTTGGCACTCACAGGCAGGTTGCCCTCGAGCCACTGGTGAGGCATCGCCACCTGTGGAGAAGGAAGAAAGGGCAGCCAGGTGAAGACTGGTGGACACCAACCTTACCCCAGGGAAGATTTTGAATCATTTCTCACTCTAGGGGATCAGTAGTATATTTCATGCATAGCATTCACTCATTTACCCCACATTTATTGAGCATCTACTATGAACGTTCAAGCAATATAAAAGTAAGGTAAAGGCTTGCCCCTCAGGGTTTAGCTGAGGCATGAAAAGGGATGACAATAAAGTGATTACTAAGTGTTACCAGAAATCCATATGCATGGTGCAATGGAGGCAAGGTTTTGAAAGCGGAGGTGTACTGTTGAGAGGCAACCCCAAAGTCTGAAGAGTGAACATCTCAGCTAAGCCTAGGCATCTCAGAGTTCATCAGAGGTCGACAACAACAGCCCAGCACTACGGCCACTTCTAAGCCGTATTCACAACAGATTTCCTTCAAAATCTAAGAACTAAAGGAAGCTATGAAGGATTGAATTAAAAATAAAAACTCGGAATCAACCAAACCTTCTATTAAATCCTAATAATAAGCATTCCTACTTATCTTTCTCAGCTTCCACAAGAGCAGAACATAAAAGAGGAGTTACTGGGAAGAGAGCAGAGACAGAGCAGCAGCTTACGCCATCTTCATCTTCTATAATGTCCTTCCCAATGGAGGCCAGGGTAGTCCATTTACAGTTATTTGTTGCTCTCACTGCACATCTTTTGTGAGCCTTGAATTTACACACTAAAAAAAAAAAAAAAAAAAGAGCAACTGCTTTTAAGTGGACAAGAACTTTTGGACCAATGATTAAAGGAAATCACAGCATAAAATTTTAAAAGGGAGGGAGGAAGTAGAAGAAAACAAATATATTTAAAAGATTAAATTATTCTGCAACAATAGTAATGGTATTCTAGAAAACAAATATGGCTATGTATTTATGAAGCACTTTTATCAAGCTATAAGTAGATTGCTACTTAGAGGAACAGAAAAGAAATAAATGCAAAAGAATTACTGCTGTAGAAGGCAGACAACACACACATAGGAGAGAGGGAGAGAGGGAAGCAAATAAAATTTGGTAGCAGGTCTGCTGGTGATATCCTATTTTTAAATGTAGGCGCTGATTAACACATTATATGAATGTGTTCAATTTGTAAAAATTCATCAAGCTGTACATTTCTGATATCTGTATTTTTCTATACATATAAAATATTGATTATAAGTCTGAAAATGTCAGTACGATAAAGTTGATCCAGAGGGGCTGTAAAGTGCAAGTATACCAACAAGACAGCCAGGCATCATGGAAAATAGGTTGGTGAGGGTCACAAACACGGCCCGATGTTTGGAAAGTATTATGTTGAGATGACCAAATGACAAATGTAGAAAGAAGGGATGATGAAGTGATGCTGTCACTACAGGTTTCACTAAATCTCCCCAGCCATATTATCAAAAGGAACTTATAAAAGAGAAATTGGAGGAAATAACTAGGGGGGAAAAAGCAGCCCATATATGGAAAAACAAGGGAACTATAGGTTATCTGAAAAATTAAGCATACTTATGAAAATCGGAATTTGACTATTATTAAACACATTTATCTCTCTAAGGAAATTATTCAAATATTAGTGGATACTGATATCAAGTCAGTTCCCGACTTCTAGCTAAAAAGTTAAAAGTAGAAATCATTTCAGTGCAAACATACTAAGGTAAAGTGTTGCTAAATTTAAATGCAAGGTATCTCTTTTTCATGTGATTTTCTGGATTTCTAAGTCAATCATTAACAAATTTTGTATCACACACCATTCTCTTGAAACTGTCTTAATTTGATATAACATGAACACAAAAGTTTCAGGTAAAATAACTAAGATGTCTTTAGCCAAATGATCAAAATGCTTCAGGTATCATGATTAATCTATGTACAAATGGATGGTTAAACTGAGCTGGTTTATCCTTGAAAAATATTAGTTTAGGCCAGGCACAGTGGCTCACGCCTGTAATCCCAGCACTCTGGGAGGCCGAGGTGGCGGATCACCTGAGGTCAGGAGTTTGAGACCAGCCTGGTCAAAATCGTGAAACCCCGTCTCTACTAAAAATTTAAAAATTAGCCAGGTGTGATGGTGCATGCCTGCAATCCCAGTTACATGGGATTCTTATGAGACATAAGAATTGCTTGAGCCCAGGAGGCGGAGGTTGCAGTGAGCCGAGATCGTGCCACTGCACTCTGGCCTGGGAGACAGAGTAACACTCTGTCTCAAAAAATACCAATAATAACAATAATAATGATAATTCATACAAATTGGAAATGTTTTGCTTCCCTTCTCTTTTGTGTACTTTGAAAAATTCTTTTCCTTCCACCATTTTTGTTATAAATGAGTGTGTAACTCAAACACAGACATCATATAGAAAATAATACTTCACTTGAGGCTGGGTGTGGTGGCTCACACCTGTAATCCCAGCACTTTGGGAGGCCGAGGCGGGTGGATCACCTGAATTCCAGAGTTCAAGACAAGTCTGGCCAACATGATGAAACCCCAGTTCTACTAAAAATACAAAAATTAGCTGGGCGTGGCGGTGTGCGCCTGTAGTCCCAGCTACCCGGGAGGCTGAGGCAGGAGAATAGCTTGAACCTGGGAGGTGGAGGTTGCAGTGAGCCAAGATCATGCCACTGCACTCCAGCCTGGTGACAGAGTGAGACTCCATCTCCAATAATAATAATAATAATAATAATAATACTTCACTTGAATTTTGTTGCTGATGAATCCTAAGTGTGAAGACACAGCACCATCAGAAGGAAGCTTAGCTTGGTGAAAATTTTTACAATGACTTATTCTCTTTTGCTCTAACATAAGTGATTACTTTAAACTGATTGGTTAGCATCTCTAGGCCTTTTCATCTATTATGGTCTTTGTCAAAAGTGGAGTCCTAAAACTATCTGCAACATATTTCCCAGGGTGCTTTATAAGTACAAATAAGTACTTGATATTCACAGTCAATGTCTGGCTTCTAAGGAGAAAAGCAGGACATAAAAGAGAGTAATGGTATAACTTCATAGCGTTTTGAAAATTTTGCCATTAAAAATCGAACAGCCCACTAAAAATAAAAAAATCACACTTTTATAATAATAAAGTGCTTCATGTAATGAGCCTTGAAAATTACCAAGTTGCTTAATATAACATAATACTAATAATAAAACAAATCAGACTGTAATTATGGTAACTAAGAAATGAAAGTGATCAGCACACACCCGAATTTTGTTAGTTAACAAATTTCTCCAAACAAGTTATTCTGAAATAAAGCACCTTCCCCTGACCTGTAAAGTTATTGTTTAAAATGAGAGAACTTAAAAAATAGGCCAGGCCTGGTGGCTCATGCCTGTAATTCCGGCACTTTGGGAGGCCGAGGCGAGCAGATCACCTGAGGTCAGGAGTTTGACACCATCCTGGCCAACATGGTGAAACCTCATCTCTACTAAAAATACAGAAATTAGCTGGGCGTGGTGGGAGCACACCTGTAGTCCCAGCTATTTGGGAGGCCGAGGCATGAGAATCACTTGAACCCGGAAGGCAGAGTTTGCAGTGAGCTGAGATCGCGGCACTGCACTCCAGCCTGGCAACAGAGCAAGACTCCATCTCAAAAAAAAAAAAAAAAAAAAAATGCAGATGTAATAAGATTATGATTTTTTATTACAATATTCAGCATTTACTATACTAAATCTCTGTGAGTGTTAAAAATCAGTTAAGTGTCGTGGTTTAATCCCCGCATTTCGGAAGGCCAAGGTGGGAGGATAGCTTGAGCCCAGGAGTTTGAGACCAGCCTGGGCAAGATGGTGAGACCCAGTCTCTACAAGTAATAAATAAAAAAAATTAGCCAGGCATGGGTGGTGCATGCCTGTGGTGGCAGCTACTCGGGAGGCCAAGGTGGGAGAATTGCTTGGGCCTGGGCAATTAAGGCTGCAATGAGCCGTGATTGTGCCACTGCACTCCAGCCTGAGCAACAAAATGAGTCCCTCCATTGCAAAAAAAAAATCATTTAAGATCAAAATTCGTAAGTACCCATGATAACATATTTTGATGCTGTTGATTTTTTTAAAATTATCATTTATCTTTTTTGGTTAAATTATTGTTTAAATAACTGTAAAGGACAATTATGCCCTGAAATTACAATTAATATTCTTAATTGACTTAGGGGATTATTAATAAATTCGATTTTTCTGTCTGCTATTTTTCATTCATATAATATTTTATATATGCAAAGCTTTAAAATAATAACTTTAGTTATTCAATATACATCTAGGAAACAAATCAGCGTGGCTTCATTTTATTGTGGAAATGAGGGTAGAAAGGCTAGTAAATGTAGTGAAGGCTTCATAGATTGGAAGCTGAATTCTATGCTCATACAAAGTTATTCATATTCACCGTGGAACACATCATAATATTTGCATCTCTTACAATATTTAAAGCCTCTTGTATCTAATGTTTCCAGTTTTATCAAGCAAGCTGCTTATTCAGATTTTAGGGGGTTTTCAAAAGTGTAAGTATGACTTTGATTATGATGAAAATATCCAGAACAACCATATTCTCATAAAATATAAAAAGGCAACTTTTTAATATTTATTAAACCCTTGGGATTTTTAAAGTCTTCTGCTATGGTTCTGAAAATACTAATAGGCAAGATACTGCAGATTTAAAAATTTTTACCAACAAAGGAAATGAATACTAATATATAATTTTCATTAAAAAATGGTTTAATCTGATAATTGAGACTTTTTAAAAAGTCTTGAAAATTATATTATTTATAGAAGAATATAACAAATTTATTTGTTTTGTTTTGGTTTTTTGGAGATGGAGCTTCACTCTTGTTGCCCAGACTGGAGTGCAATGGCCCGATCTCCACTCACCGCAACCTCCAACTCCTGGGTTCAAGCAATTCTCCTGCCTCAGTCTCCCACGTAGCTGGGATTACAGGCATGTGCCACCACGCCTGGCTAATTTTGTAATTTTAGTAGACACGGGGTTTCTCCACGTTGGTCAGGCTGGTCTCGAACTCCCAACCCCAGGTGATCCACCCGCCTCGACCTCCCAAAGTGCTGCTATTACAGGCGTGAGCCACCGTGCCCAGCCGAATATAACAAATATAAGGACTTTTAAGTTTCTTATTCTCACCAAATAATGTAATTTTCATTTTTCTTTTAAAATGCTTAGAAAAAAATTCAGTCATTCCACTACTGACTCAATTTTTAAATACATATATTTAATAATGTATAACCCTCAAACCAGAAGGGTACCACAGACTGTCTCAGATGTGGTGTCTTTTTAGCACTTTTGGAATAAAGATTTTAGTAAAATCTTTAAAATAATACCATATAATATTACAGACCTGGTAGGAGTTATTCAGCTCTATGTGAACCCTTTTAGATTACTAAAGTCATCACAAAGGCCAATCAGATCTCTTTTGCAATCATTCTTTAAGTCTAAAAAGAAAGCTTTAATGCCTTCTCCAAATTTTCTCCTTCATGAATTTTAATGCATCAAGCCCATGATGCAAATTTGGAATAAGTTTCTTACAAAACAGTTACAAACTTCTTGCAATTTATTGAACTAGAAAAGTAGTTTTATTGCATGTATTCTCTCATTTAGTTTTTATAGTGATTCTGTGAGGCATAAATGACTATAATCCGCATCTTATCGATGAGGAGAGGAAAGTCTAAGTGAGTTAAACAATTTCTCCTGGTTATAGTTTGTAATGGTGGAAGTGGAAGACAGTTTGACTGAAGAGCTCTATTCTTGGTTTGTTTTTTTTTTTTGAGACGGAGTCTCGCTTTGTCGCCCAGGCTGGAGTGCAGTGGCACCATCTCGGCTCACTGCAAGCTCCGCCTCCTGGGTTCACGCCATTCTCCTGCCTCAGCCTCTGAGTAGCTGGGACTACAGGCACGCACTACCATGCCCAGCTAATTTTTTGTATTTTTAGTAGAGACAGGGTTTCACTGTGTTAGCCAGGATGGTCTCGATCTCCTGACCTCATGATCCGCCCGCCTCGGCCTCCCAAAGTGCTGGGATTACAGGCTTGAGCCACCGTGTCCGGCAAGAGCTCTATTCTTAACCACTATGCTGTATCATATTAAATATTTGAAACAATGACATATCACAGATTTTATAGTTTAAAATCAATTAAGGCTGTGACTCTATTACTACTTTATTACTTAATTATAAATAAGTGATATTCCAAATTACTTAAGAAACTTTTGGATTAGAGAAAAAACGCTGGTATTATTATTATCATATATAGTTCAAAAAGTAGTACACAGCAGTGTAATCACTGAAGTATGAAATAAAATAACTCTAAAGAAGTTATGAGTTTTCTGTTGGCGATTATTAATGTATTTGCTTTTGGTGGTCACTGCTCTTACATTAAAAATAACTCACAAATCTGCTCATGCCTCTAATCCAGCACTTTGGGAGGCCAATGCGGGAGGACTGCTTGAGCCCGGGAGTTTGAGACCAGCCTGGGCAACACAGTGAGACCCCCATCTCTAGAAACTTAAAAAAAAAAAAGATTAGCCAGGTGTGGTGGTGCTTGACTGTAGTCCCAGCTACTAGGGAGACTGAGGTAGGAGGATCGTTTGAGCCCAGGAGGCTGAGGCTGCAGAGAGACTTGATCATGTCACTGCATTTCAGGCTGGGTGACAGGGTGAGACCCTTTCTCAAAACAAAACAAAATAACAACAGCATAGGCCTTATTTTTAGAAAATTTTAAGGAAATTAGAAAGGATGATACCTAATTAGATTAAACAAATAAAAGGAAAGAAAACAATATTTAAAACAGTCCAATATAATTAACAATCAAAAATTCTGCCAAAGACTATATAACTGTCCTCACAAAAAGTTTTATTCTCCATAATCAACCAGAATAAAGAATACCAGAATGATTATACAAGGTCCAAAGATTTTTTTTTTTAGACAGTAGTTCCTAGTTTCTTGGGGGTGAAATGCTGTATTTTGATTTATGTTTCCTTTAAATGACTGTTATTTTTTTCCTGAGCAAAAATATTTCTCAAGCTAGTCCTATGCGTGGAAAGCCCAATTTAAAGCTACAGTGAAACCAGCGGTGGCAGGTCTACAGTATGGTCACTGTCTGGAGAAAACACATGCTAGGTGCTACAGTACCTTCGCAGGACAGGCCATGGGAGGTGACTCCAGAAAGACTCTCTCTGCACACGTTACAGAAGGTGGGCCGGGCGTGGGAGCAGGCGTACCAGTTGTGCATCCCTGAGAAATGTTCCACATTAAACTGGGCCACCTAGAACAGAGATGTGAGGACAGATGTGCCAAGCCAGCGAACAAGGCTACAGATGCTGAACCCTTTGGAATGCATATAGTTATGGTCAAATTTTCAAATCTGTCATTTTTAAAACCAAAGCCCTTTGCTTTAAGCTAAGAATTTCAAAATCTGGTTTAAACAAGTTGCTGAAGGAGTGTACACATACTTAAAACGTTTGCACAGTAGAGCTCTAGCCCTTTGGTTAACATTTATTTCCTAAGAACACGAGATGGAAGAAAAGATGCTATTTTACCTCGTAGGGTTCTCTGGTCTGTACAGACTTCAGCGAGCTGATCCAATCCTCCATCTCCTTTCTGTTCTCAGCACACAGCATTAGCCTTCTGAATGGAGTGATGATCTGAAAGGGATAATTCAATCTAATGATTGTTAACACCCAAAGAGAAAGATTATTGCAAAACCTGACACCTTCTGAGGTAATTCCATTTCTAACCTGAGTCTTTATTTCTTATGTTTTTGTCCTCTGTATGATAAAAATAATGTGGTCTAGGAAAGAAAAAGCCTAAGGAGTTTTTCTATCTTTGACCCTTTTGCTACTGACTTGGGCTCTTTAGCCCTTTTTTCTAAGCCTATAAACCCAAAGACACAATGCATTCTTATTCCACGAAATATATCTTGCAAACTGATTTTAAATATACTTCAAAATAATTCATAGTAAGCTTAGAAGGAATACATAGTTTTCAATATGGAAAATATTTTTAAATTAAAAATCAAAGAAATGTAATATTAAACGATTTCTTAATTATTTTAGTTTTCAATATGGAAAATATTTCTAAATTAAAAATCAAAAGAATGCAATATTAAATGATTTCTTAATTTTTTTTTTTTTTTTTTTTTAGTAGAGGCAGGGTTTCACCATGTTGGCCAGGATGGTCTGGATCTCTTGGCCTCGTGATCTGCCCACCTCGGCCTCCCAAAGTGCTGGGATTACAGCTGTGAGCCACTGTGCCCGGCCACCTAATTGATTTATTATGGTATCAACAATATTCTGTTAATATTTAAATAATATTGAGTTTACATATCACTTCTACTGTCTATTTTAATGATTTATGAAGATTCTTCCTCCACTGTGTAGAACTCCACTGTACTAGTATTTAGTGAGAGCAGGGACAAAGAATTAACATAAACATCCTTTTGTTGGCTTTAGGGAAGAAAAGAATTACGATTTTTATCTTTTTCAGATCATTAAAAAGGCAACTTAATTACATTAAGGACCTTAAAGCAAGTGGAATGAAAACTTCACACTGTCATAGGATCAAAGTGCTTCAAAGTAAGATTCTGAAATGACTTGAAAGAAGCCCCTATTTATTTGTAAATACAATATTCTGGCTATAATCTTGAAGTTACTAAATCCTACACATTTACTGTCAAGAAAAGATCATTTATTTACTTGCAGAACAAGAGAAAAATGTTGCATTCCTACCTGGAAACTATTTCCAAAGAATAAAGCACATATCTATTTATATAGCAAATAAGAATTTTTCTCAAGTTAAAAGCCTCTTGATCAAGTGATAAGTCTAAACGTTACATTGGATTATTGAGCAGATTTCACAAGTAATGAAAGAGCAATAATCTTCTAAAACAAACAAAAAGAAAAAATGAATCCTTCCCAAAAGGAGTAAACTAGTACGCCTAAATCATTACTATTCATCTTGGAAAATAAGTCCATTATTCAAAACAACAGAGAGATCAATCCAGTCTTAGCTACTCACGAGTCATTGCCGCCTCTCATTTGTCATGGGTTCAGGCTACAGAGTCCTTCCTTAAACCCAGAAGCTTTAAATACATCTAACAGGCACTCACCCTTAAATACAGCCAGCCAAAAGTCACATGGAAGAGGAGCACCAATCAGTCAGCTCTGGATATTTGTTAATTGCATATGAAATTGAAGAGAACCTCACTTTTGCATTTTCTTGTTTTCCACGACCCTCTTTGGATAAAGCTTATTAACAGTTGGTCACTTCTCTTCCTGAATAAATAGTTAATGCAAAGAACAATGCCTCTCATTACTTAAGAGCCAAATGGATGCTTTATTGCTTCAAAATGTTTTTCTAGGACAGCTCATGAGATGCAGCAGAGAGGTACCATTAAATCATAATACACTCCTGGCTCTAATGACTGGCACAGCATTTCACAGTCTCCAAGTTTCATTGGACTCGCTGATGTTTTCTGAATAAATATTGTCTCTAGCATTTAGTGTATTCATTTTTTGCTACCTTATATGATGTAACTCTAAGGATTCCCTCTCCTTCCCTTATATGAGATAAAGTATCATGAGACAAGCATTATTCAGACAAATAAAGCAGGCTTGCTATTTTGTTCTTTAACTTTGTTCTTTGCTGAATTCTAAGTAAAGCATGATGACTAATGGTTTTAACTGTCTTTAGTGCCTTTACATTAAATGTCTTGTAAAGTCACTGTAAATTCAAGAAAAAGGGGAGAAAGGATAAAGAATAGCTTCTAATTTTTCTTTGCATATTTGGAATTACACAAATGCCTCAATTCTAAATGATTTCAGCAATATAAATCATGTGTGCTTATATACTAATAAAGTAAAATGTACACATTTGCAATTTCTCCTTTTCAATAAAAACCTGTTTTAAAGTGAACAGTAATAAGCAAGGAAAGATCATAACACATTTAATACAGTTAAGTTTTCCAGAGGCAAAAAAAATTGGAAAGTTATTTTGATTTATAGCCCTTGTGATTAAGAAATCTACTGATTATAAAATGACATTATAAGAAGTCAGTATGAAAAAGAAATCATACTGGTTTTGTGGCCACAGTGCCACAAATACCTCAGTGAGCAGCCCAGAGTTGTCTGGGCTTACTAGACGAGCCTGGCTTACCAACAAACCCGTTAATGCCTCCCAGATGGACCTTTCCCTCGGCAGTCCTTCAATACTCTAGTCCCCTCCCACCTTTTATTTAAATTCTTCCTCATCCCAGACCTTCCTAGGAAAGGATGGGACAGATGCAGCTGTTGACCGACAGGCTCTGGTTATCCCTAGCTGAAATGCATTACACTGCAGCAGCTTCTCATCGAAATCTTTATTAGGAAGATACCTGGGGAGGAGCAAACTCCAAAATGTATTATTATGTCCTTATTTTGAGAATAAGATGTCCTACAAGTGAGGAGGATAGGGGAGATGGAAGGATAGAACGCAATCCCTCCACCATACTTGGGGGAGGGGTTATTCACCAGCGAAAACCAGGCCTGGTGGGGAGGACAGGCCCAGGACGTTTCTGGAACTAGAAGACGTTTTACTTTTCCTGGAAGAGCTGAAGCTCACCTATCCTAAAATGTCTCCGAGTCCTTGTGCTTACCTCAACCCCACTCTAACTGCCTCTCTTACCACCATCATATTTACCAATCATTTTTTTCAGACATATCTGAACTTACTTCAGTAATTTTTTCAAACTATAACCACCAGTCCCACATCAGATTCTGGGGTACACCTGCCTGTCTGTTCATCCATTCAAGCATTTATTGAGCATGTACTGCCTGCCAGGGCCAGGGATAAAAACCACGTGGGATTTGCTTTAAAGAGGGTACAAGGAAGACAAGAAGTAAACCAAGGATTACCTTGCCTGAAAAAGTACTAGAGAAGATGGGGTCCAAAGGACAGACATCTAAATCAGTTTCGTAAGTGCTAACTCAAATAATATATAAACTTTCCATTAATAGAAATATTGCCCCACCTTGGGAGTTACTGACCTGTAAGGATTGAGCCAACGACACTATTATGTAAGAGTCAAAAATTTCTCAGTCTGACAATGCATATAAATGCATAAAACAGACAAAAAAAAATTTGGCATTAAATATAAAAATCTATAGAAGAGTAACATTGCAGTTAAGATGTCAAATATATAAAGGTGTGCAGGCTAAAAAAAAAACCAAAAAAACAAAAAAAAACCCCATACATAGATACTGCATACTAAAACCCATACTATAAATACTGCACTGCTATCTTTCAGTGAAGGAATGACAGATAATTTTAATCATAATTTTTTTTGTCTGTGGTTTTGTTTTGTTTTTTGAGATAGGGTCTTGCTCTGCCCAGGCTGGAGTATAGTGGCTCGATCACACCTCATTGCAGCCGCAACCTCCTGTGCTCAAGCGATACTCCCATCTCAATCTCCTGAGTAGCTGGGACCACAGGTATGTGCCACCACACCCAGCTACTTTTAGTTTTGTAGTGACAAGGTCTCCCTATGTTGCCCAGGCTGTCTCAAACTCCTGGCTTAAAGCCATCCTCTAGCCTCAGCCTCCGAAAGTGCTGGGATCAACAGGTGTAAGCCACCAAGCCCAGCCTTTCTGTAGTGTCTAAATCAAATACGCACTACTTCTGTAATAAAAACGTTACTTAAATTTTTACTAACAGAAAGATAAGAATTTAGAATTCAAAAATTTGCATTGTTCCAAAATAGGAACATATGGAGTTTAAAAAAATTCCCCAGGTCTGTGCTACACTCCATGAACACAGAACATCTGAGGGTGAGACCCCAGTATTTTGGGGGCTGGGTGCAGTGGTTCATGCCTGTAATCACAGCACTCTGGGAGATTAAGCAGGCAGATCACTTGAGATGAGGACTTTGAGGCCCAGTATTTTTTTGGAAACTCTCAGGTAATTTCCAAAGCGTGGCCAAGTTTGAGACCTAGTGTCTAAAGATATTTTATTGTTCCCCCCAACAATGTTATAACTTAATGAAAGAAGTTTCTAAAGAGAAGTGAAGTAGAGGGAGCTGTTAATTCTCAGTTGGAAATCACTAATATAAAAGCATAATCTAACTCTGTCTCTAAACTTTGGAGTCAGGCTGGGTGCGGTGGCTCACCCCTGTAATCCCAGCACTTTGGGAGGCTGAGGTGGGCGGATCGTCTGAAGTCAGGAGTTCAAGACCAGCCTGGCCAATATAACGAAACCACACCTCAACTAAAATATATATATATATGCACCAGGTATGGTAGCATACACCTGTAGTCCCTGCTACTCAGGAAGCTGAGGCAGGAGAATCACTTGAACCTGGGAGGCGGAGGTTGCAGTGAGCCGAGATTGTGCCACTGCACTCCAGCCTGGGTAACAGAGCGAGACTGTCTCAACAACAACAACAACAAAAAAAAAACCAAAAAACTTTGGAGTCACACTGACCCACCCTGAATCCCAGCAACATCTCTTCTTACCTGTCTGGCTGTGGACACATTTCCTGAGCTCCCTAACCATGTCTGTCCTCTGCTAAGAAGGGACAGAGCAGTAACTCACAGTAACTCTGCAGCGTCAGCTGTGGATCCATGAGCTAATCCAGGTAAAACATTTAGTACAGTCTCTGCCATGCAGTCAA